GGGTTTGTGGAAATACATACACGTTAGGGAAAGGAATTTAGCAACAAATTTAAGAGATACAGTTTTATAGATGTTAATCTTTATACTTCCCAGGGATGAATATCGGTTCCAAGCTTGTTTGCTGAGAGCTCGGTTTGAAGAACATAAGAATGAAAAAGACATGGTAAAAGCCACCAAACTGCTTATGAAGGGTGAGGAAGAATTTTGGGCTTATCAGCATCCTCAACCATATATCTTCCCTGATTCCCCGGGAGGCACTTCCTTTGAAAGATATGAGTGTTACAAGGTAGGTCAGAACCCCTGGTATAACTCCTCACCCTCTACTCCCTAATTAGATTTCAGAAATAGGAAGTATTTGTTTTATATGGATTTTCTTAAAGAAACTTAGTTCTCCTCCTGTCTTTCTCATCTGGAAAAGAAAAATAGTTATCCTTTCCACATCGTGGGAGTTAGGGGCACAGGCACCCCTGCAATCTAGAAACTTTTGAATAAAATTTTTTGGCTTCCTCTTGTACCAGAGAAGAAGTCTGAATTTTTTTAGGGGGGTGTTTAAAGTACATTATTGTAAAATATGGGTTGATAGTATATAATACCACACATATATTTTATGCATTTCTGAGTTTCTAAATTTTTTGTTGTTTGCTGACCTTCATGTGTCATCTGCAGCTTCCACAAAACTCCCCCAAAATTCCCATTTAATTTCTTATGATGACCCATGATATATCAAAACCATCATGGGGAAAGTCTCAATGTGGAAGGGATAACTGTAGTTCCATATGTTTTCTCAACTTTTAACTAACATTTCTATTCAGATTTCTTCCTCAACTAGGTTCTGTGGTCCTATAGAAAAGAGATTTGTTTTTTCTTTTTCACTAAGTGAAAAAGCCTCTTAGGTTAATAATTCATTGCTAGGCTTGCTGAAGTTAATTTATTTGGCTTGACTATCTAGAGTTACTAGCAAAAGGAGTTATTAGTATTTATAAGGCCTTATTACCAAATTTAGGAGTTTTGGAGAATAGAAGGAAGGAGATGGAGTGGTATTCGTTCTGTTTGACTTAAGGCAATTTTCTAGCTCTTGCATATAGAGGCCATACACTTGGACATTCCCATTTGTCTCTGGTCTTCTGTTTCACCTCTGTCTATGGAATAGATGCAGTCTTACCAATGGTACTAACTTGATTATAAGAAATGCAGGTACTATCCTACTACCAGCATCAGAGAATCATGGAATTTTAGAATTGAAAGGGACCTCAGCAGCCTTCTAGACCAACCCCTATCCAAAAGGAGTTTGTGCCATGACATACTGACAATGGCCACCTGCCTTACCTCTGCTCAGAGGCCTCCAGGGAGCCACCCCGCCCTTGCCCTTGCCCTTCCCCTTGCATTGTTCATTACCAGTGTCATATCTCAGAACCTGTGACAGCCATCCTCTTCTGATAGGTTCCTGAGTGGTGCTTAGACTACTGGCATCCGTCTGAGAAGGCGATGTACCCTGATTACTTTGCCAAGAGGGAGAAATGGAAGAAATTGCGCTTGGAAAGTTGGGACCGTGAGGTGAGTGGGCATGCACCCCTGGGGAGGGGGGATGCATGGCTCGTAGAAGAAGTCATGTGGAGAGGGGCTTGGGAGACAATTAAAATAGCCACTATTCCCCTAACTTCGTACAGTAAACATAAGAGCGTAGATTGAAGACTGGAAAGCACCATGGGGAGGCATCTAGTTTACCCCCTTATTTTGTGCATGATGCACCTAAGACTTGGAGAGATCAATCAGGAGAAGTTGGGGCTCCAGGGTTTGAAGTCAGCAGACCCAGCTCTCTCCCTGGTACTGAGCATTCAAGATAGTGTCAGTTTCACACAAATTCTTTATCTTATAATCTGCATACATTTTCATCTCATGGGGAGAGGGGCTGTGAAACACAGCACCATGGATCTGGAGGGGCTAAAGTGGCCGAGTCTAGCTCACATTTTTACGGAGAAGAAAACTGAGATCCAGGAGGGGAAGTGATATCCCCACAGTCACCAAGTAGCAGGAATCACAGGCAGGATGTAAATACGCCAGGGTCTCTGGCTAAAGAGCCCACCTTCCTTCCAGTGGACAGCACTGCCTCTTCAGAGAACTGGCCTGGGGCTGAGTGAGTTTTGTCTTTCTCCCCTTTGTAGCAGTGACATCCACACAGCAGACCCTCCCAAAGGCCATCCTGGCCGGGCCTGGCAGTGCCCTGCTCACTGCCCTTTCCAGCTGCTCCATGTGGCCTCCCCAAGTAAAGGAAGTTAGCCAGGCTGTCTCACCAGGGTAGGGGATGGTTTTGAAAGAGCAGGGGGATTTGAGGGAGCAAGGCAGCCAGGAAGTTAGTTTTGCTCTTAGTGTGCATTGAGGCAAAGTGTCTAGAGCAAGGGAGGTGACAGTCCCGCTGTACCTCAGAGTGGTGTATTTCATGCTGGGCGCTGCATTTCAGGAAGGACATTAACAAGTTGGAGTGTGTTGTTAAGAGGAGAATGACCAGAATTGTGAACTGGCTGGAGCTCATGCCATAGAGACCTTTTGAAGGGACTAAGGATATTTATTCTGGAGAAGAGCTAGTATTTGGAGGGCTAGGCTGTGAAAATAGAGCCACCTAGCTCTTGATTCTTACATCTGGTAGGTGCTTAATAAATTTTAAATATAAATGAACTAGGAACCAGGTTTCATTTGTATACAAGAGGATAGTGTTTTGTGGGATATGCCTCAGCATTCACATTTAGTTTGGGAAAGATAACCGGTTCACTCTGCCCCTCATCTTGTGTTTAGGAGTACAAGTTTGGGCTGCGGCAAGCAGGAGCAACTTAATGAATTGGGCTTTTGCGGGGAGCTTATACAGGAAGTGGATCTCTGATGATTGCTTATACAGGAAGTGGATCTCTGATGATTGCATAGCTTAGGCTCATTGCTTGGTGATGATCTTGGGGTCCACTAGAACTGTGCTGGTGCTTGAAGATAAGAGCCAAGAGGGTCCCCGCAGTTTTATGGTCATATAACAGCTGTCTGCTGCAGGACCCAGACAGCAAGGGAAAGCAGGGTATTGTTAGTTAATATTTAGGGAGGTTTAGGCATCTATATTAACAGACTGTTTGCCAAACACATTACTTTCTAATGCTCAGTTAGATACAGGTTGGTGGCATAGTGGATAGAATGCTAGATCTGAAGTCAAAAGAAGACCTTAGTTCAAATGCGGCCTTAGACTTGTAGTACTTTGAATAACCCTGGGCAAATCAACCTCTCTGCCTGCCTTCATTTCTTTATCTGTAAAATGGAAAGGCTAATTCAAAATATTTGTAAACTATTTTTACAAACCTTAAAGTGCTATGTAAATGCTAACTATTATTGTTTTTTGGTGGCATAGAGGAAGGGAGAGGTATGTGGAATTAGAATGAAGATATGCTGTCACAATTTTATCTGACTGGAATTGGGCATCAAGTATACTTTCTCTGCACTGCTGCTTCCTTGGCAATGGGAAGATGCTTTTGTTTAAAATGTAATTGAATGAATAATATTTTTTTTTTAATTAATTAACTTTTAGTTTTCAACATTCACTTCTGTAAGCTTTTGAGTTTTAAATTTTCTCCCCCTCCCTTTCCAAGACGGTGTGCAATCTGATGTAGGCTCTACATATAAGTAATATTCTTTGCTGTGGATATAAAACTAAAAAACAGGGGACTAAAGATGGCCTAGTCTTCCGAATGTTGAGAATGGGATAATTTTCTTTTGTGAAAAGCTGTCACTTTTCATCATATTGGTGGTATTGATTAGTTTTGTCAGTCAAATTCATTTAATTGGTCTTAACGTAGTTTCCCCTCATTTATTGCACAGGTTCAGCAGCTGAAGGAGGAAACTCCACTTGATGGTCCTAAGACTGAAGCTCTGCCCCCAGCACGAAAGGAAGGTCATTTACCACCACTATGGTGGCATATTGTCACTAGGCCCCGAGAGCGCCCTTCAGAATAACAATCACACACTTTAAACTTTCAAGTGTGTATATTGAGTATGTAGATACACATGTACTTGACATAATAAAGTTACTAATCTGATGTTACTGACAATTGCCTTTTTCTTGTATAGAAAAAATAATTTCCTTTGAGGCTTGAATTTAGTAGGTTATAATTTGGAGGGGCATGTATGAACTCCAAAGAACTGAAGCTACGGAAAGGTTTGATCTCTAAAGTTTGCAAAGTTGAAAAGTTCTATTATCCTTACTTATAAAAATGAGGCACTGATGTTATGGATGAATGAAAACAACATTGACCTATCCATAATAGAAACATGCTTTGAGTTCTCCCAATTGCAATAGTTTTGTGGTAGGCTTAGGACCTTTTTATAATAGATAATATGGTTATTCTAGCTTTGGAAGTAGTTCTTTTTGCAAAGCTAATTGGCTGAATCCAGTGACCTCCCTGGCAGTCTGGAAACCTATGGACCCCAACCCCTTCTCAGAATATTTAAATAATTTTAGGAAATGGCAAATTGCAGTTAAAAGTTAGGGAAAATAAGGAGCTATTTTTCCCCCATCCCATTTAAGCTGAGATTTCCAGAAGTCGGTGGATCCCAGATTTAGAATCTTTGCTCTAAATGTTCAAGCTTAAAGTTGGCTTTGTGCCTTAACTGTGATCATAAGCAATCTTTGAGCTTGATAGGACCAAAAGGATCACTTGATCAGCTTTCATTAAAGAATTAGTTTGTTACCATTAAACTCACAAACATTCAACTAATTTTTTTTGTTTTATAATGTCAGAACTTTATTTTTTTCATGCAAAAATATTTCTGCATTAGCCATACTCCAAAAGAAAAAGGAAAAAATATTCAGCTAACTTTTCAAGTGAGGATCTGAAAAGGGCTTGAAGAATCAAACCCCCTCAGGCTTGTAAGAGTACTACAATCTATTATGCTTTTTTGCTGTCCTCCAAAATTAATTTTGGCCAATGACTTGAACAAATATGAAGGTTTGAATAAAGTGAAGTACAGGATTTTTCTAGCCATTCTTTATTTATAATGTATTCTGAAGCATTTGTTACAATGGAAAAGAGTGACACAATACAGCAACTGTTCATTTATATCAGTTGAAAACAAAAATCTGCACAGGGAGAGGTCAACTCTCAGTACAAACTAGCAACTAAAGAACAATAATTTATACCATTAGAAACATTTTTAAAATTTTTAGCTGTGACACTGCTTTTACAATATGCAAAAACACAAAACAGTAGAACTATCCGAAGTGTTTTGTCACATTCTTTCTACGTTGAATTTGGCAACATTTTATATTAAATTTTTTTTCAGATTATACTAACGTTTAAGAACTAAACAAGTGAAAAGCTGTACTCCAGTACAGTTACATCCATTCATTTCCAAGGTTTAAAATACCACTTTACTATGTTCATTCTCTTGCAATGGTTTTTGCTTTAGCAAAACCTATCAAGCATCATATGCACAATGCATCAGCTACTTTTATTCAATCAAGATTGGTGGGCTAGAACCACAGGCACTACTGTTGATTATATGCTGTAATAAGGAGCTTGTTTTTCAAAGAAAGTAAAGTTTAAATAGTTTCTAATAAACATGCCATTGCTTTAAGCCATAACATAAAAGTGTCAGAAGCAATCACAGCAGTGTAAAGTGTTATTATAGAACAGTGACTGTACAAATACATTAAGTCTTACATCCAATGCAGTAATGTATCAAAGCATATGATGGTGTCGTCAGATATTGGAGCCAACAAAAGCTGCAGCATTTGGGTGGAAACCAGCAGCCCCCTTTTGAGAACTTCATTTGGTGAACTGTTAACAGTTTCCAAGTGTGCAACTTGAATAACTGACAAGCCTCTTTTGCCTCCAACCCAGTCTTAAACCCCTTTTCCTGTGGCCCCCTGAGTTCTGCATACCTTGCTGGCTTTAAAAGATGGTTATTACAGCAAATTGGTTTCACTTGAAAAACAAAACAAAACTCAAAAAAGTCTTTTTTAATTAAGAAAGAACATTCCCAAAAAATATATCACCCAGAATACAAAAAAGACAGTGTAGTGGTCAGGCTCCCAGTGACTATGCATCTTTGTTCCTTTTCAGTATTCAGGATGAAGCCAATTCACTGTCTAAGAAAAACAAGCCCCCTGAAATAGAACACACCCTTTTGCAAGTTGCTAAACTCCAAGCTGGTTACCCTTGCTAAATCCACTCAAGTATCCTCAAAATATTTGGGCTTCTCAATGTACCCAGCCTGCTGGGCACTTGTACATAAAAGGCATTTGATACTCTACCTAAGAACTCCCTGCTATCATTTTTAAATGCTTTCACATGTTAAAAACTGCCTTACCCTTTTGGATGTATTTGGACTCAATGAAAGCATGAACACGACAGAAGAGAAACTGAGTAAATCAATCTAAGTACACTATTGAAGCAGCATGCATATGACTAGGAGAGGCTGCTGTGTGGGGTCAAGAGGAAATACGGGAAAAGAACAGTGAAGTCCCTAAACACCCTACCTAAACAAACACTGCAATCCAGTATGGCTTCGGATGCATTTACCATGAAGCTAACAGTAATTCAACCTACTAGGCTACTCTCGGGGAACAGCATCCACTATGTTAATGGTGTTTCCCACCCTACCTCCCCCCTCAGCCCAACACAGCCTATCATTTCCAGCTTTATTTCATCTGTTATATTGCTTTTCATCTAGTTACTCTGCTTTTCCACACAAAACATACTTAAATGAGGCCATGTTCATTACCCATTTTATTTGTACATTAAAATAAGTCCAATTTATTGAATCCACACTATCACAATGCATCTACAAAAGCTTGCAAAAAAGCCAATTATTAATCCCTTTGCTGAAGTTTGCTACTTTATGATTCTCCCCAACCCCCCCTCCCCCAGTTATGCATTTAAAATTTTACAAAGGCTTATAAAAAAGTTATGGGATTTGGCACCTTCAGAAAAATTAAAAGGGAAACTTAAGAACAAAAATATGCAGAAAGTTGTCGATATTTACAAATTAAAACACCAATAAAGATTATGATGGTTACTTATGCATGTGTTTTTAATTCTCTGTGTTTTATGATATATAGTACTTTCAAAACAATGCTCTGATTTTGAGTTTCCTACAAAATCTTTTGTTTGATTATAGATTGGAATGAATCAAAACAAATTTAAGGTTTTATTAAACAGTTCATTTTCCATTCATTAGAACCCTGGCAGTATATTCTTAGAAACCTTAAGATAAACGAGGGGCCGATCGATCATTTGTCAGTGTCTTCTTCAGTTTTACACCACGGCGAATGGCATTCAGCATATCTTCCCCTTGCAGGGTATCCCCGGGGCTCAGATCTCCTGGGTTGCTGCACTCTGGGGTCTGGCCAGGGGAGCTAGCGGCACTTGAACGATCCCCTTCTGTTTCGTCATCCTCTGTTTCCGGAGCACTCTGTCTCTGCTCCTCCGAGACGCTCGGCTTCGGGCCTGGCAGTGGTGGGTTGACAGAGGCTTGACCACTCCACATGGAGGAGGGCATGCTAGTGCCACCCTGGGTGGTATCACCCACAGAGGGTGACTCTGGGCTGTGTTCTCCATGCCCCTCAGGCCCTCCCTGAGGACTTGGTAGTGTACCTGGTAGGTCAGGGACAGTTGGGGTTTTGACGGGAATCACAGGAGTCTTGATAGGAATAGGTCCAGCCCCGATGGTTCCCCTTCGTACAGAAGGTTTAGTAGAAGGGGTCCGTCTGATGGTTGCTACACCAGGAGTGACTATCGCAGGTCCTAAGGTAGTGGGGAGACCAGCGGTTGAAGCTGGGCGTTTGGCCTGAAACATCCTGCGATAGGACTGGCTAATGTCACTGTTTCTCGGAATGGTAGAGGATTTGTCAAATTCCTGCTGTTCTGTCTCCTGGTCACCACTTACAGAGAAATAATCATAATCTGAAACTGATTAAAGTGTTTGCATTAGGAACACCGAAGAGGGTGACTTTTTTTAAACTAAGGAGCCAATGGATGTGGAATTACTGATTATCTGGCACCATGACAGGAAGTATGGTTCAGCTGGGCAAGGAATTCAAAGGCTGAACATCCTAATCCCAGTTCTGTAAATGGACTTCAGTGTAACCTCTGGGAAACACTTCATTTCTCCACTTAATTCCCCTCATAAAAGTGGCTTAAACCTACAAACCTGTCTTAGAGATATCACTATCATCACTACTATGAAATACTAAGTAACACCCACACTAACACCCATTAAGTCAAACTGAACAATAACTAGCAATTATATAGTGCGTTAAGATTTAGAGAGTGCTTTATAGATATCATCTCATTTGAGCTTCACAACCCAGAGAGTAGGTAGTACAGGTATTACCAGTGCCACTTTACAGATGAGATAATTTAGATTCGGATTAAGTCACTTGCCCATGTTCACACAGCAGTATGTGTCAGAGATAGGATTTTAAGTCAGGTCTCTCCCAACACCCAAGTCCAGCATTCTTTCTACAACACCTTGACTATTGGTTAGAAGAAGCCAGAGCTGCTTCAGGCAAGGAGCAGATCCCACAGAAGTCATTTTAGACTTTTCCTGACTCCTGTCCTCCCCTCTGGGCAGCTAGGTGATAATAGTACATACAGCACTGGGCCTGGAGTCAAAAAGACTCATCCTGAATTCAAATCTGGCCTCAGACACTTACTGTGTGACCCTGGGCAAGTCACTTAACCCCATTTGCCTCAGTTTCCTCATCTGTCAAATGAGCTAGAGAAGAAAATGGCAAACCACTCCAGTGTCTCTGCCAACAAAATCCCAAATGGGGTCACGAAGAGTCAGACATAACTGAAAAACAACTCAACGACATGCTGTCCCTTTTAAATCAGCCATCCCAATGACAGGCCCAGAGCTGGAGAGAAATGAGATTTCTGGCAGCTAAGCCTTTTAATGAAAACTCAAAATGTAGCACCTAGCAGTGAAACTGTATTTTTAAAGCAATGACTCCTCACTGTCATCAGATATAACATCACAGTGGTAATGGCAGACATAGGCCAGTTAAATATTTTTCAGACTGATATGCTGAAGATAATGTATTCTACTCTAAACTTCACTGTCACTGACATTATGATTGGCACAAAGGACATACTAGTTGAGGTTGAGGAAGAGGGAGGGAATTGGTGGTTAACAGTTTATCATGAACAATATCAATCCAGGCTCAAATTCAAAACCATCACATAGTCCAACAGTTAAGAATGAGACAAGATGCTGAAATCCATGTTAATCTCGTAAACAGGGGCCATCTGGCAATCCTAACTATAATCTCTAAGGACTTCCCCAGTGCTTAAAATTATTTCCAGGTTTATCTGTGGGCTGGCAATTTAGTTTTCCTTTCATCTCAAATAAAAGGGACTCTTCCTACTCCTAGATTACGGAGGAAAAAGAGTAAAAGGGAAAAGAAGAACCTGAGGTGATTTCAGATAAGAAAGAAACTGTGAAGGTGATTTAGAGGGGTTTGGACTTAGGAAGAGAGATTGAATTTGAGGAGGAAAAATTTGGGGGAAATCTGAAGGAGAATAATCTCCAGATCAAGACTCCATATCTAGCTGCTATGAGAAGTGTAAGGAAAAGGAAGGAGCAGGAGGGTAAAGGAGGAGTAGGGACCTGAAGAGGGATACTCAAGGAGAAAGTAGTTGCTAGAAGCAAGATTTTTTTTTTAAATTGGTGCATTAAACAAACTGATAAAGAAAAATGTGTAAATAAGAGGTAGCTCAAAAAGGAGAGGAAATAAGGTATGGATCTAAAGATGCTGTTTGAGACCAAAAAAAAAAAAATGCAATTGAATGTGGCTCTCAAGTTATTAAAGGGTGCTAAAAGGAAAGGGAAATTTCCATAATACCAAAAATTATGAAAGCCTATATTAGTGAGGATACGGAGGGAAACTGGTTCTGTTTTTCTGCAGAGATAATATTTAACAAGGCAGATAAAATTTTTCAGTGGATAGAATGTCAAACTTAACAGTAAGGGAGACTCAGGTTCAAATTTTGCCTTTGATACTTGTTAGCTATATGACCCTGGACGAGTCATTTCATATCTCTTTTTATCTTTGGGGACCATATTACCAGTAGTACCTATTTCACACAGCGTTGTTGTGAATTTCAAATGAGACAATATATGTAAAGTACTCTATAAAAGTGAGTTATCATTTATGTAAAATAGCCTGGAGAAGAGAAACACGACATCTTTCATTAAGTATTTGAAGAGTTCATTTGGAAGAGTGATTAGACTTGTGTTCTTTGGCCTTGGAGGGCAAAACCTGAAGTAATGGGGAGAAACTACAGAGAGGTAAATTTGGACTCTGGGGTGGGGGGGGGAGCCCTGGCCTGTCTTCATTACCTTGTGAAGGTATTGTGTCCTCTGAACAGCATGGGGTGGTTGTCTGGGTACTGTACCCACTGGAGCACTGCAGGGAATCCCGGCTGCTCCTCTGGGGGTCCAGCTGCAAGCCCCTGGCGAGGGCCAGGGCGAGCTCCTCACAAGCCTCCATCTCTTCTCCAGGCTGCAGGCAGGGGAGACAGACAGACACACACATACACACGTACACACACACACACACACACACACATATACCGTGGCAATGAAATCAAATTGCTGAGGTCAGGTGGGCACAGAGGCCCTACCTCTGGGCCTAACCCTCACATCCCCCCTGGGGAGAGGTTGGGAAAGGAATGCTCTTCTTGTAAGGATTTCTGTGGAATTTTCTAAGTCAACTGCAAGCAAAATTTGAGATTCCAATTGCTGGAGGTGGAAGAATGCTCAAATGAACATTTCAGAGGCTAAAAGCAAGGGTGTCCCCCCTTCCCAAACAGGACTGTAGCCAGCCCATGGACTTCAGGGACCAGCCTCAAAAACACTGAACCAGGACAGAAGCTAAGCTCCTTGTGGCTACCTCAATGACTCGCCCCTTTGGCCAACAGGTGCTGACTCTGGGACAAACGGGGGTGAGCGCATTTTTTCTGCCCCTGGCCCTTGCTCTGAGTGACAGGGCCATGAGGGTGAGGTGAACTTCTGTCCCCCAGGGCCAGGGGATGGGGCAACAAACAGGTTCCTCCTATGCTCAACCTGCAACTGAGAAATAGAGCATCACCCTGGTGGCAGCTGAAACAGTCATACTCCGAGGCCTCTGAGCCTCCTCGGTAGGTGCGGGTGGAATGCCAGGGGGTCCTCCGTTGGAGTCAGGCTCACGCTTTTCCTTGCGGCGTTGTAAGGTGTTTGCCACAGGCTGGTCGTATGGGCCTGGCTTAGCCCAGTCCTACACAAAACAGATGCTGTGAGAAGCTGTTTAACTGGGGAGCTACCCTAATTGCTTTATTTTGTGGGGGTCCACAGCCAAACCTCATAATAGAGTCTTTGGGAAATATCAACCAAATCAAATTCACTCTGTGGAAGGCGGTCAAGAAAACATGACTCAGGGGAGCTCAGTTGTATATTGGAGAGAGCCGGATTTGAACTCAGGAACACCTGAGTTCAAATCCAGCCTCAGATATTTACTAGCTGTGTGACCCAGGGCAAGTCACTTAAACTCTTCTGCCTCAGTTTCCTTCTCTGTAAAATGGGGATTATATTTTATGATAATACCTCCCTCTCAGGGTTGTTGTGAGGTTAACATGATATTTGTAAAAGGACTTTGCCAATCTCCAAGTGCTATATAAATACTAATGCCACTGCTGCTGCTGCTGCTACTACTACTACTACTACTATCACCACCACCACCACCACTACTACTACTCCATCATCCATCCCTCAAAGGCCTCTAACCTAATGCCTGAGAAAATGTTAAAACCCAATGTTTCAGATCCAATAGCTGACAGGACCCTTCTTAGTAATTTCCTCAAGGTTTTAACATTTTACTAATTCAAGACTTTGGTCAGTTTCAGGCAGATATCTTATAAATCCCAGAGCAACATTAATGAAATCTCTCTGACTGAAGCTCTAAAACATCTGTATGCTGGCCCCTTAAGGACCAGGGATGCACAATGTATCTTCATCAGATATGCCGTCACACTGGCAGGTTCTGCATTCGAACCCTGGACTTGCCAACACACAGCCGAGATCAGGACTTATCTTTTGAAGCCTCCATTTCAAATTAGAATCCTAGTTGAGTCTTTACTAGTAAGCTAGCCATCAGAATTGGTTTTTTTTTTGGGGGGGGGGGTTGTCTTTTTTACAAATGCGCCAACCACTGTCCCTGTCTCACCATCTATTTTCAGGAGAGGGGCACTGAGGGGTCTAGGTTCTTAAATGAGAAAGGGGTGGGAAAGGGAGCAAGTCATGCCTTAGAGACAGAATCCTGCAGGTACATTTAAAGAGCATAGATGCTTCCTGTCCAGGATGAAGTCTTAGCACCCTAAAGATAGCCTATGACATTTTCTAAACCACAGATTATTACTTATCCTCATAAAGACGTTGCAAGTAGAGTGATATCTCTGGGGGCAGGGGAAATGACACAGTGAATTCTCTGGGACCTCCCAACCTCATGAGAGAACTAAGCCTCTCCACTTGTCAACTGCTTTTACTCTGAGTTCACTGGAATTCCACACCTTGTGATTAACCTTGAAGCAGGGAAATTCAAATAGTCAACTAAGAGGCAGCCCCTGAGTCTCAGCTCCACACTGCGGTTTCTATCTCTGAGCTACTAACCTTTCCCTCCCCGCCTTCCCAGAACCCAAGCCCACATACCCTAACAGGGAGGACATATTACCCAGCAAGATGTTTTGGAGAACCAAACAGAATGTGAGAGGTGACTGCCACAGGTCAGGAGAAGGGCAATCACAGCAATGAGAGAATGAAGGGGAGGGAGAGGGAGAAGAGAGTGAGACACAAACCTTCCAGCTAGGGATCTTAGATGACGGTAACATGCCCGGCCCAATGGTGTAATAATGAACGTAGTCTGGAAGGAGGGCAGAGGTCGCCCGAGGGCACAGACGGGAGGCAGGCAGGCAATGAGGATAAAGACCTGCACCCACTGATGCTACATGGGGCTCACTTGGTAAACTATAGTGATAAAACCCGTTAGACAACTGGAAACAAAACAAACAAAAAAAACAAACAAAAGAGGGAAAAATTAATATAACAAGATGAATGTGGAAATACAAGATGGCATTGATGTATTCTATGCAAAGGGGAAGGGGAACCTGGATATTAAAAAAAAAAAAACATGGAGATTTGCTGTCCTTGGACAATCAATGAATGAGGCAAAAAGGAAGCAGGGGAGAAAACAGACCAATGCTATCTGATCCCAAAGTAAGTATTTACTTTAGATAGACTTCAACTACATCTTGGAATGATTTAGAAACTGATCCATTTCTCTCAATCTTTATGATAATCTCAATACGTCCATTAGTCAATAAAATAAAATTTCATGGAAACATTGATTTGGTCATGTCATATGCAATTTTAATCATTTTTAAATGGCATTAAAAAGGTCTGTTCAATCCAACTAACTTTCCAAAGATGTATTTTTTCACAGCAAATCTGAGACTGAAAAAAAAGTTTAACAGAAAATTAAATAGCGCAAAAACATACAGCCTGACGTGTTTGAAATGACACGTTCAAACAAGGCTGCCATAAGGATGGACACCTGGGAAGTAGGTGGGGTAGGAGATGACGGGAGGAAAAGCCACTGAATTTCTGATGTTCTGAGTTCAAGCCCTCACAAATACCTCTTAATCTCAATCCTCTCCCTACCTGCCTTCTTCCTCCAAATCTTAATCTTCTTTCATTCAAAATGACTTCACTATCAGGGTTCTGTGAAAACCTGAGTTTCTGAGAGTGAACTTGTCGAGGTAGGTATGTTCTCTAAAAAAAAGAAGCTTGTTTGTTTGTTTCTAATAGACCTTGGTTTAACGTCTTTGTTTATTTTTCAGGGTTCACCTGGATTTTGCCAGGAAGCTAGCTAGCAGAGGCAGGGAACGGTAGGGAGGCAGGGGGTGCTGGTTAGTTCTCTGATACAGATATTTTTCACCTTCTCTGTGGAAGCCCAAGCCCCCATGGTCGAGCCTGAGCTGACTGAGGTGGGGGAACTGCACTCGCTCACTGATTGGCAGGTTTCTGAAGCTTCTGAAGAGGCCGAGCTGGATGAATTCTGTAGCATTGTCAGCACCACGGCAGCACAGCGGAAAAGAAAACACAGGAATCCAAAACACAGACCCAAGGCACACAGAGGAAAAGGCCACAAGCCACCAAAAAAGGATTAAAAAAAAAAGCACGCACAGAGACAGACAAGACAGACAGACAGACACACAAGTACACACAAGAAAAGAGGAAGGATAAGAGAAGCAGAGGATTAGGGTTTTTTTTTTTCCCCTCTGTATCACTATACATGGCTTTTAAGCTATCTGTAATGTTCAGTCACTTTTAAGAGGCAAGCAAGAAAGAGAAAGTCTAGTCCTACCAGTCTTTCCTGGACAGGATTTGAGTCATCACGTTAAATCTAACCAAACAGGCAACATCATACAGGAGCTTCTCCAAGGGGATAAAGACCCTGGACCTAAACATCTGCTTTGCCTTTTAACCCCATGGGCATTCTTTACCTCTAAGAACCTGGCCAGCAGTTGGCTATCACTACCTGCTTTGGTTAGCTAAAACTAGCTTATAGCTTTTATAGCTAGCTATCCTGAGTTTTCATTCATTCTCTAGTATGTTTAAGGGGTACCAAGAGATGGATGTTCCCTCAGGCCAACATGCATGCATACACGGGCTTTTGGAACTCTATTTGCACTTGGGGAGAATATTTCTCTAATCTGGTCACTCAACTCCCCAATTCATAGGCACTGTGCATGCCTGGGGAGGTTGTAGTATATGTAATAGAAAGGAGAGTGAATCTGGATCCAGAGGAACTCAGTTCACATTCCAACTTATTAGCTATGTGACCTTAATCTCTCTCACCTCAGTTTCTTCTGCAAACAAAAAGGCTTCGACTAGATCAGTTTTTTTTTCCTTTTTCTTTTATTAATTTATTTTGATTTATCAACACAGATCAGCATTTTTAACCTGTGGTCCATGAACTTGTTTATTTTTTAAAAAATATTTTGATAAGTGTTATTTCAACGCAACTGACCTCCTTGGCAATCCTATGTGTTTTATTTTTGAAATAAAAATGTTTAAAAACATTCTGAGAAGGCAATACAAGACTCACCAGGCTATCAAAGGAAATCCATGGTGGAAAAAGGTTAGGAACCCTTGAAGCATATGATTTCTGAAGCCTTCTCTAATGCTACAATGGTTACCAATGGTAACCCCATTACATGGACCACATGCAGGAAAGATGACTCACTCGGGGAGAAGCCAGACTTTTAAGAATGGGGACCTGACTTGCTTTGTTTGAAATCTTCCTGCCACTCAGGAAACCATATTCTTTCCATTAAACCTCCATTGTCTACTAGTCTAATTTCCACCAACAGGCTTGTACGCTCTCTCCCCTCTGTCATTGTCTGAAGGATTCAAGTGTGGTTTCATCAGCAGCTTATGTCTCCTCCATCTATTCCTCATCTCGTGAAGATAAGCTGGTTGTGGGGCTGTCACAGGTACTATTTTTTAAAGTGTATTTTCTATTCTTTTCTGCTTTCCTTAGTCCCTCACTAATTTACTAAAATGAGGAAGGCTCATCCCAATCCAGTGGATTATCTCTATTATCCTAGGAACTGAAACCTAGTGAGTGATGTGAAAGACCAAATTGCTATTTCCACCTATTCTTACAATCTTAGGAGATGGGCAGGCTCCTGAGGAGGTGAAAAGTTTTTGTTTTGTTCTACCATATGTTTAACTCAGTGGAAACTAAAATATATAAGGAGTTCCATGAAGCTCTGTGGCTTTCCTTTCCAAAAGATCACATGCAAATGGCTGGTGGGTTCAGTCTTGTGTCTGTCCTGACACTTCTTAAGAGGAGAAAAACCAATACAAGTCACCTTACTTAGAGAGTCAGGAGACCTGCTATTCTATCACATACAAACTGCGTGACCTCCTCCATAAAATGATAACTACCTATTTCACAAGGCTATTGAGAGGAAAGTCTGTAAATCATAATGCACTTCATGAATCAAAGTTACTATCATTATTATTGGTTTCTGTCCCCCTGCTTCAGATAAATTTTACTGGAAAAATAACTTGTAAGCAATTCTAAAACTCTAGGTTCAGTAAGTATGAGATACTTTTAATCTGTCTTATTTCTACTATTTCTTAAAAAAAACAATAACCACCTTGACTTGTTTTTGACAAGTGCTGATTTTAAATAGTTATATTGGTATCAGAGAACATGTGCTCCATTCTTAGGCTCAGGACTCTCTTGGGTGGGAGGGTGGAAGTGTAGGGGGAGAGGACGAAGGGCGGAGAGGAGATAGAGAAATCAAAGAATTTTAAAAGAAATGTCCAATTAAGACAATGCCAAATGAAGGAGAAAAATAGGGCAATATGTGGCAATCTCAACAGTTTTTACACCAACGATCTATATATATTTCAGTGGAAAACACCAATGGCCTATGATACTTAGTAGATGACTTATAAGGTTCTATCTGTCACTGCTGAAATCTACCTGTTTGTAAGGCATGAAATAGCAGCAGGGCCAAAGAGCTGCCAACCACTGAAATCAAGGACAGGACGTGAAAGGTATTAAGGCATGAGGGCTTAAAAAAAAAAGGGTGGCATACTTGGGGAACCAGATGGATCAAACTGCCAAGGAGACCTTATGGAGAAGATGCTGAGAGCTGAGTGGTATGGGAGAGGCAGCTTGTGGAAAAGTGCATTATTACATCTGAAATCAGAAAAACTGGGTAAATCGTTCCAGCTCTGCCATTCATTAGCTGTTGTGACCTTGGGCAAATCATATCCCTTTCTTGTACCCTTCCCCTCTGAGATTACTTTTCATTTATCCTCTATCTACTTTGTGTGAAGGCTATTATTTACACGTTGTCCACACTCTCCCCTCACTAAAATGTGAGGTCCTCGAGGGCACCCTGCCTTTCTGTGCATCTTCAGTGCTAAGCACGTATTAATAAATTCTCTTTTAAAATTCTAGATCCTCAATAAATTCTTGCTGACTGAGTGGACTTGAAAACAAACCTAGTGTTACTAACAGGATTTATCTCAGATACTCAGCTTTTAAGTTTCCTTCAATTCTTCCCAAAAAGGTTCTCTTTACTGAGTCCCTAAACATTAATACTAGAAGCCATGACATTCTGTTTCAATTTGTTAGTCCTTAAAGGCAACACTCAAGGCCAACCATCCATGGCAAGGTAAGCGTGGGTGTTTTCGAGTTTATTTCGCTCAAGCTCTGCTACACAATGCTATAAACATAATTATGTCGACTGATTAAAAACAAACATCAAATTACACTGCACAGCAGAGCAGCCTCTTGAAAAACAAGAATCCCTCCATCATTTTAGCCCAGCAGATTTTCTGCCTGCGTGACATGCATGTTACTCCTTGTTGCACTGAAAGAAAGGAGAAAGCAGGACGCTGGAGGAATAAAAGCCCAAAGAGCACCAGCGATGACAGGCAAACATTCTCTCCCAGGAGGAAAAGGAAGAGAAAACTCTAGAGATTTTGACTCTGCACCAATTCTTTCCTTGAAGGTAATTCTCCATCCTCCGAGAATGGAAAGAGTTAGTACCATCACCAAGCATAACTGGAGAAAAATGCCATCACACGGACACCTAAGCATTTAGGTTCAGGCAAAAAAAAAAAAAAATTGGGGGTGGGGTGTGTATTCAGAGAGCTCTTTCCAGTTCCTGTATTCTTCACTTGCAACTCAACATGTTCTAAAGAGGGACTTACTCTAGGGGGTTGAAAAGGGGAGAACTAGTAGCAATGGATGGAAATCACAGGGAGAGAGAATTTTAGTTCAGTATAAGGAGGCAACTTTTCTCTTTATTAGAAAATGGAACAGGATGCCTTATTAAGTGGTAAGTTCTCTATTAAAGGAAATATTTAAACAAAGCCTGGATGGCCATCGTGGGAGAATGTCATAGAAGGGAGAGAATGATTAAATGATCTGTGAGGCCTGAGATTCTATGGAGAGCATCTCTTATCTCCCTCCAGGAAATAAAGAGCTCTATGTACCAGGGAGATGAGGACGTGAGTCCCTGAATAAGAAAACTCATGAAATCAAGTGAAATCCTTGGGCCCTGAATGGTCAGTTTTAGAAGGTAACCTGTGTCTGAGCAGATGCATAATACACAGCAGAAAATGTTGTGAACCTGAGTTCTACTGTTTGACCACATGCTGCTAAGTGCTGGGCAAAAACCAAACTTATCACTTCTCAGGGAGGGAAAGGGGTGATGTAAGAGCAGCAGCAGATGTACCAGTCATGCACTGGAGACCAGGACAAATGCAGTCACCATATCCCTGTTGGCTTCAATGGAAATGAATGCGTTTGGAGGAGTACAATGTCTCTTAATCCAACTGCTGTGCAAGCAAGCTTGGGTCAACTCCTTCTCTCTGAATCAAGTGCTGATGATTCACTGAAGAGTTAACAGCACAGAAGGCAAGAATTTCATGTTCTTCTATGTTACGAGAGTGCTGTGCGTACTTTAAGGACTCCCGGAATGGTCAACGGTCCATACGTACCGGGTGAAGTGGAGAAGGAAGAAGCTAAATGAAGAGATACACCCTCTAAGTGGTTTATACCAAACTTGGGAATGCATGGTGTGCATAATTCAATCATCCCCTCAAGGAATACCCATATCTATGAGCCTGCCAAAGACTGGTTCAGTTCTAGCTGCCTACAATGGAGTATTTCTGCCACCAGCTGGAAAAATCTACTCAGTTACCCTCAGGAAAGGTGGGTGTAAATTCTATCTTTTTTAAAAACTCTTTTAGGGAACAAAACATTTCTTTTAACTTGAAGACAAAGAAGAAGTTTCCTAATGATAGCATATAAAATAAAATGGCATGAAACAGGGTACAACTTTGGGTCCCAGGAATGATCAGGCCAGGATTCATGTATGTGTGTCATCTCTGCCCCCAGCCCTGTGGGAGGTGTGGACAACCTTACCTGGTTGGGAGTTTCCGGTGGCATTGGGGATGGTGATTTGGACTGGAAGGCATCCTGGGATATGAAACCCGAGTCATGGGAGGACACGCTTGACAGCCTCATGGGAGCCTGCTGCGGCAGATTGGAGCTTCTGTAGCGATAATGTGAACTGGGGGAATGAGAGTGTGAGCCACTGGAGCGAGAGTCGCTGCTGTTAACGCTGTTCAGGCTGCTGTGGGGGACACGATGGGAGGGAGAGAGGTAAGAGCCCGGGGACAGGAGGAAGGCCACAAAACCAACTTCAGAAGTAAACTACAGAAAGCCCTCCTGTTAGGTGAGGACACGAGATGTGTCCTGGCACTGTGGGCAAAGAGCGGGTCTTGGAGCCCGGAAGAATGACATTTAAGTCTTGTCTCTGACGTACACCAGCTACGTGACCCCAGGCCTCTAAGGTTACAAGTCCAAGAGAAGGCGCCCACGCTATACTGGAGGAGAGAATTTACTCACCCCAGAGGTTCCCTATATCAATGAAATCACAGGTCCAGTCTTTAAACCCTAGCCAGGGGTGGGGAACCTGCAGCCTCGAAGCCACATGTGGCCCTCTAGGTCCTCAAATAAGGCCCTTTGAATAAATCCCCCTGTTCTGTGAAACTTGGACTCAGTCAAAAGGCCGCACCCAAGCACCTAGAGGGCCACATGTGGCCTCAAGGCCACAGGTTCCTCACCCCTGCTAGCCTATCCTGTTAGGAAGGATAAATGGCATTTATGTGTGAAGAGGCAGGAGAAAACATGACCTATCTCTTTAGTTCTCTCATCAGGCAAAGATATTCCTAGGTCAAGAAAAAGAACACTCCACTGCAGTCTCATTAAAGTGACAGAACACTGCTGAGGTTTAGAAGTCAGTGGGGCAGAAAATTACTGTGCCAGTCTAACTGCACAAGTCCTGGTGTGGGGACAGACTCCACAAAAGCCACACTAACAACAACCTGGCCTGTGCTTGCTGGAAGGTAACAGAAGAGCAACGACTACCTTGTGGTAAAATGCAGACTTCTCTACGTGTAAATTTGGTTCATGTTCATAGCAAGGGTAAACTGTCTGCCAATTAATTGTGCTTGTGTCTACATGTCTGATCTTGAACCTTCCTGTTTAACTGAGGACTTTTGACCTCACCGGCAATGAAGACTCGGGGTGCTTTTGGCTATGAAAGCCATGACAAGTAACCTTCCCAGCAATTTCCCAAAGACAAGCATAGTGGATAGAGTGTTGGCCCTGGACCCCAGGAGACCTGGGTTCAAGTCTCATCTCTGACATATACTGGCTGTATGAGCTCAGACAATTAACTTATCTTCTCAGTTGCTCTAAGGGGCTCTCTAAAACCATAAATTGCAAAAAAAAGAAGAAAAAGAAAGAAAGAAAGAAAGAAAAGAAAGAAAGAAAGAAAGAAAGAAAGAAAGAAAGAAAGAAAGAAAAAGGTGCTGACTCTTACTGGTAGAGGGTCCTTTCATGTTCCTTGTACTAATGAAATTAGAGGTCTAGTCCCTAGACCCTATCCATTCCCATAGAGGGAAAAAGGTTTTGTACCATTTTGGATGAAGCAGTATTAGTCCCAGACTGGATTACAAAAAAGTCATAAAGGGCATGTCTAGCAGTCTGCATCCTAAATAAAACTTTCAACCCCAAGACAGCAGTATGAAAAAATAGAGAAATAAACCCTTATGAAAACATTTGTGGAGCCCAGCTTCCTGGTACAAAATGCAAGGTTTGTGAAATCCAGATAGATTTTGTTTCCTAAGAGCAACGGGGCTACCTAACACAATGAGCTTTAGGAATAGACATGGAAGCCCCAGATACACAAATTTACAGCGTCCTTTCTCTCTGCTGCAACAATCAGCGGGCATCCAGTCTTTCACTGGGACACATGTAGAGAACATCTGATATGCCAGGGGGGAAATTTCAGTCTAGGGAAAAATAAATCTCAACACAGTCCAAAATTTCAAAAGGACATTGTTGCCAAAGGAATGCCAGCTGTGAGAGGAAGAAAGGCTTTAAGAAAAGAGAAACTCTGAGGCCTTTAGAGATGTCTTTCACTCCTCTCCTCAAACAGAATTTGCATTATGAATTCTCTGACAATTAATTTAAATAGCTCAGAAATGCCATGATGCCACTACACTTGCAGTAAGTGGGTGATAACATGGCAGTGGAAACGGACATTGATGGGTGCAAAGCTAACTGCCACGGGAGGGGGTCATTAGCATGATTCTACGTTTCCTTCCAATCAACCGAAAGAGGGCATTTCGACAATGAAAATAACACATTCCCAGCAATCTCTCCCCAGGACACAGCTGATTCACGATTTGCAGTATAATTTTCTATTCATATAAAACACTCAGGGAGAAAAAAACCAAGTATTCACTTAAAAACTTAGCATTCTTAGCTTGTGGCTTTTTCTTCCTTCTTTATTGATAAACATGTCTGACTTGTCAAAAAATAACCACTCAAAAAGCAAAAAACGATTCAGTGGCTGCATAGAATCCCATCTATAATACACCTGAGAAATGGTCATCCTGCCTTGTCTACTGGACAAGACCACCATTGTGTTCCTTATGTTACTATAAGATAAAAGCTGCCTCCTTTAGTATTATTTCAGGATACTATATCTTTACATCTATATGTGATAACACATAGTTTGGTGACCCTGTGATCCCACCCAACTGATGCAAATTTCACTTAGATATAATGGAAAGAATACTGAATTTGCAGTCAGAGAACCTGGGCTGAAATTCCCAGCTCAGGCTGTTGTGTTACCTTGGGCAAGAATCCAATTTCCTCTTCTGTAAAATGAAAAGATAAATGCCTCTTCTAGCTCTAAATCTATGCTCTCTCATACTATGACCTCATTCTTGTGGGACTGGTTTTTGGGGAAAACAAACAAACAAACAAAAAAAAAACCTGTACATGAATATGGGAATATCCAACCATATACTGGATTGGCAGATGTCTAGCTCTTAGAAGTAACCACTCACAGGGGCTAAAAGTTCACTCAACTCAGTAGAGCAGAGAGCAAACATCCAAAGTACAAGTGTACAGTGAGATTTTTTAAAAGCCAGAACAAAATGACATCCAATAATGCAGCCTTCCCCATTAAAAAGGCAGAAAAATTAAGCAGGGGGATGGCATGCTAATAAGCCATTCTGCTGGAAGAAAATATTTTTGAAGACATCAGCTGTTCCAGCAAATATAGTCAGCACAAAGCAGAACTCTATTTAGACTGTGATTTTTTGAGCTAAATAAGTGAGGGAGATAAAGGATATGTTCTTTTTAACTTTTCCTACTGCCAGGTTATAGTAAAATCAACCAATAAATAACTCATCTCTTTATTTTATCATCTAGAATAGCAGCTTGGATACAAGTAACACAAAAGTAATAACTGATTCTAATAACATAACAAACAAACAACTTTTACTGGCCAATCTAGGAGTCTATTGCCAGATAATTTAAGGGTTAATACAGTCTTTTCTTGGATCGACAATAAATCAGTGATAAAGAAGACAGATAAAAGAAAATCTTCATAGAAGTCTTTACGGTACAAGTTCAAATTTATTCAGAGATACCAAGAATCGGTTCTACTTATTTGCACTTGGAAAACCGAAGTCAATCTTTCTTAGAAATAAATTTCCCAAGTTCACTTACCTGCAAACGCTTGATTTTCTGGACATGGTTGTACTGGGAGAAGATGGAGGAGTCTGATATGACCAACTGTAATCAGAACCTTTCAAATCTAGAATTACCTAATAAAACAACCAAAAAAATTCATTTAGTAAGCTAGGGGCACTGAAGAGGTTTTTTTAACTTCCAATTAAATAATGAACCCATCCAATTTAAAGACAGGTTTTCACCAGAAAAAAAATATTTTTTGTTGCAGTTTTCTTTTTCCTTTCTTTTCTAACACATTACAAAAATGGTTACTGTCATCATCTCTGGCTAAAAAAAAAAGTTAAAAATTAATGGGAAAAAACCCAAGCAATATGAAGACATATATACACTGACGGAGGTAAAAACTTCGAAGGTTCACAAAGGGTAGAGAAAAATCACTTTGTCACCCCTTGCCCCCCAGTCATTTGAGGTTGCCTCAGAGAGTCTCCATGTGTCTTAACTCTGTTCCAAGATTTGCTCTTGGATAGTAACAATTAAAATTAAATGGCTCACACATGATGCTTTTCACAAAAGAAAGAAAATTTCAAACTTGACATGCAGTCAAAACATTCATTTCAGCACTGAAAAAAGTTCATGTGCATGTTCTGATTTTATCATAAATTTTTTTTAAAAAGAAGACAAATGAGACATAAAATAAGGACCTTTGGCTAAAATCATCTCTGCCCTAACTCTTAAAAAATACTTTTTTTCAAAAAGCTTTAAATAGGAAAATTCTTAAATGTGCCCAACACTTTCCTGAGACAAAGAAATGGTATTTAAAAAATCTGTAAGGGGCAGCAAGGTGGCATAGTGGATAAAGCACCGGCCCTGGAGTCAGGAGGACCTGAGTTCAAATTCAGCCTCAGACACTTCCTTGCTGTGTGACCCTAGGCAAGTCACTTAACCCCAATTGCCTTAAAAAAAAATTTGCAAGCATCAGGCAACCAGCATCATTTGTAATCTAGAGAATAAAATTAAACAGAATGGAAAATAAAATACCTACAATCTTCTATTCTGAGTTGCATCATCATACTATGGCAATAGATATTTGGCACATGAACAAAGGGCCAGAGTGTGATGGGAAACATATTCTAAATTAAATCTTTTATGACAGTTCCATGGGAACGGTGTTCTGGAAACTCTGGGTTCTACCCAGTTCTGCCACTTACACTCTATTTCTATATTTAAGTACCAGTACCACTGCATTTAAGGCAATTAATACCAGTTTCCAAGAGGGGACTCAAAGCAGCCCCAAAATTTCTCCGCACTTCAGTTCTGTAGGAGAAAACAGGATATATCTTCTTCAGGGAAGAATAGCTGCCTAGGTAAAATGACCAATCTATCCAAAGTAAAGTTACTAAAAATAAGAACAGCAATGGGGCAGCCAGGTGGTACAGCGGATAGAGCGCCGGTCCTGGAGTCAGGAGAACCTGAGTTCAGATTTGGCCTCAGATTCTTGATACTAGCTTTGTGACCATGGGCAAGTCATTTAACCCCAACTGCCTTGCCAAAAAAAAAAAAAAAAAAAAAAAAAGAACAGCATTAAAGAGCAGGTGTGGCCTGACCCATAAGCCTTCTTCTACTCTCTGAATACTCACCTGTTCACTAGATGATGGTAACTTGTGGGGATCCATGGTGAGGCTCTTTAGATCTTCAGATATGGTCTGTAGATGAGTTATTTCCCCTAACATGGAGATTTCCTCTTCCTGAGGGAAAGTAATTAAAAAGCCACACACTTTACACTACGGTGTTGGAGTCAAAGATCTTATCAGGACACAGGCCATTTATATACAATTTGCTTTCTGATCAAGGCAAATAGGGCATGATATTTCATTGCTAAGTTACGGTAAGACCATGTTCTTAAGGGAAATGGATGGAAGACATTCATATATCAGGCTAGTGATAACACACAAACAGATTTCATAGCAAAAAAAAGAATTCAGAAAACTAAACAAGTGTTACAGTGAAAGAGCAAGGGACTGGATGTTAAGAGATCTCCATTGAAGTCCTGGTTCTGCCATTTTCTAGCTTCAGAAATGAATGAACGAATGAATGAATGAGCATTTATTAAGTGTCTGCCCTGTGCTAAGCTCTATGGTAAGTGCTAGGGATATAAAGACTAGAGTTAAGACAGTCCTCACCCTCAAGGATTTTATATTTTAATAAAGGATATAGCACACATAAGGGAGTGACAGCCAAGGAAGTTCACTTTGGTCCAGAAAGTAACAAAGACAGCAACTTGGGGCAAGTAATTTTACTACTCTGGGCAACAGATTACTGATCTTTAAAATGAAGAGGGACAGGATTTGATGGTCTCTAAAGTCCTTTTAGTTTAGAAATTCTTTTAAGTTAGTCCATAATGATAAAAGGCAATTAAAAATAAAATCAATTAATAGCTTATCAATTAGTCAAACAGTTTAAAAATAAGCACCAGGTGCCAGGTACTGTGTGGTCGGTGCTAGATATAAAAACGCGAAAAAGAAAAAACTGGGAGAAATGCAAGACTATACAATTAATGGTCATTTGAGACCTTTATATTCAGTTATCAGAATGACAGATCAAGAAGTTAATAAAGAAATGGATGCTAAAATTAGAATAGAATTTAAAATTAACAAAACTCAATGACAGGACAAGAGAATACATATACTTTCTTTTCAAGTGCTTCCAACTTGATTATACCCTGGGATCCAAAAATGTCTTTATAGTAAATACAAAATGGCACTAAAAATAGCATATTCTCAGCTTAGAGCTCAATAAAATAAGAATAAAAAAAGCACACACACACACCCCCTGCTCTCCCTCCCAGAGTTGAAGACTACCCAAACACCTGCAAATTAAATAACATTGTCTTGAATAAGATGCTTGAGTCAAGGATGAAATCCAGAATTAAGTGATAAAATATGTTAAAAATGGCAAAAATATATGAATCAATATATTCTGAAATGTATAAGAAATTGCTAAAAAAAAAAAAAAACTTGCAAAAAATTTACTGCTTGAACTACCTGTTTTAATAAGAAAGCAAAAGAAAAACAACAAATTAAGTCTGTACCTAAACAAAAGGGAACAACATAACAAATCAAAAGAAAGAAACGAAAGGGGGGAAAACTGCAAACTGAAACAGAATAGACAAAATGACAAGACCAATTTTTAAAAAATATGTTTTCGGAAAATGCTAGCAAAATTGATGAAATATTAGCTGAATTAAGCAGGGTGGGGGGGGGAGGATAAAATCAAGAATAAGAAATGAGCCAACCAGTACACACACACAAAAATTTTTTAAAAAGGAGGCAGAAGAAAAGAATATTATTCTTGGCTATGTGCTAACAAATTTGATTATCATGGATGACTAAGTCCAAAAGTGTCATTATTTAGTATGACTTTTAGTGCTACTTTATATTTACTATGAAAACCTTTTCAGAGTTCTATTATTTAATCAGCCTAAGAATGCTAATGAACTACTAAAATGTAAGTGGCTCATAATAACAATAATAATTTATTCTGTCATTTTTAGTCATATCCAACATTGTGTGCCCCTATCTGGGGTTTTCTTGGCAAAGATACTGATGTGGTTTGCCATTTCCTTCTCCAGCTCATTTTCCAGATGAAGAAACTGAGGCAGAGTTAAGTGACTCACCCAGGGTCACACAATTAATAAGTATCTGAGGCCAAATTTGAACTCAGAAAGACTAATCTTCCTGACTCTGGGCTGGGTACCCTATCTGTTGTGAAACCTAGCTGCTCTTATGATAATAATAATAATAACAATAACAATAACAATAATAACAATAATAAATGATTTTTTTTAAAAAAATGGATAGTATTTATATAGCATTTTAAAGTTTACAAAGTACTTTACAAATATTATCTCATTTGATCTCGGGAGGGAGGTACTATTATTATCTCCATTTTATAGATGAAGAAGACAGAGATTAAGTGGGTTGTCCAGGGTCACACAGCTAGAAAGGATATGAGGCTGAATATGAACTCAAGTCTTCCTGACTACAGGTCCAGCTTAGCTATACCTATACCACCTTAGCTGTCTCTTATTGGTCAAGATTGCCATCTTTAAATATGTAATTTTTAAAAAATTGCACAACCAAATATAACAAAGTATAAACTAAAAGAAAAGGGAAAAATACTTTTAACATAAATGATAAAAGTATGAAGAACTTAATACAAATGTGTGAAATCAGCACTCAGATTTCAATTAATAAGTGGTCAAAGGAGTTGGAATACACAAGAGAAGGAATAATTCATCACAAGAAAAGATGTGCAGACTCATCAATAACTTTAAAGTCCCCACAGAAGAATCTTTAGGGTGCTTTCCTATGTCTGCTGAGCCAACAAAAATAAATAAAAACTCTAAGAGTGAACCCAATAGCACTCTTGTGGAAGGCTCCATAAATTGGTTCAATTTTTCTACAGAGAAATATGGTAATATTTTAAAGGAGATATCAAATTGTTTATGACCTCCAATTTGGCAACTAGTAAATAGGATGCTAGAGCTGGGAGTCAGGCAAATCTGGGCCCAAATCCTGCCTGGGAAACTTGTGTGACCAAAGGTAAGTCTTCTGACCTTTAAGCCCTTTTCTTCATCTGTGAAATGAGGAAGAGAATAGCTGTAGAAACCTATCTCAGAGTTTTTATGAAGACTCAGATGAGCTAATGGATATGCAGTGCTATATAAATGTCAATACAGCATAAAACTATTACATTACATACTCTATTACCAAATAAATATATCAAAATAAAATTCAAATGAGTTAGTATGTAAAAGCACTTTGTAAACCTTAAAGTGCTACATTAATGTCAACATAACATAAAATTGTTATATTATATTATTACCAAACAATACCAAAATAAGATTCAAATGAGCTAACATGTAAAGCGCTTTGTAAGCCTTAAAGTATATAAATATCAATTTAACATAAAATTATTATATTATATATTCTATTATTACCAAATAATACCAAAATAAGATTCAAATGAGTTAACATGTAAAGTGCTTTGTAAACCTTGAAGTGCTAGATTATTATTATTATTATTATTATTACATCATTATTATTCCATCCTTGGGTAGAAATAATCCTGGAGGTGAGTGGTGGGAGACTAAATTTGGGGAAAAAAACCACATAGCAGTAATATTTACGAGGGAAAAATAAAATTAACACAAACACACAACAATATTTAAGTAATACTGTTAGTAAAAACTCCCATTTCCATTGCTCTGTAAAATTTACAAATTGCTTTCCTCATAGACATAACAGAATATCATATAATTATTAAGAATCACAAGTATGAGTACCATGTCTTCACACATGAAAACATTTACTGTACAAAGTGTCACTGGGGAAAAAAAAGAAAAACACTCAATAATCTGGGCATGTAATAATTACAAGCAGGTTAAAATTCATGTATGTGCAATTCTGATTTGCTGTGCTATGTTGGGCAAATTACCTCATTGACCTCCGAGATCTCTTTCTAACTCTGAGATTCTGGGATTCTAAGTTAATCAATCAATCAATCCATAAACATTTATTAAGTGCCTACTATGTGCCAGGTATTGTGCTAAGCCCTGGAGGTAATATCGATCATGTATCTCTTCTTCACTCATTTAATAAATGGCACAGGGGCTGGTTTAGCATAATGCCTGGCACACAGTAAGTGCTAACAAAATGCTTACTGACTCACAAGTCATTTGTTCTCCCTAAAGTTCAGCTACTCTCTCAGAGGTGTCAAATGCTGGGCCCACAGGCTACATGGGGCCCACAACACTAGTGAGTGCAGCTTGAACCTGATTAAAATGTAATTTCTATCTGATTTTAATGTGTTCTTAGGTGGTACAGTGGAGAGTGCTGGGCCTGGAATCAGGAAGACCTGAATTCAAATCTGGCCTCAGATACTAACTAGCTGTGTGACCTTGGGTAAGTCACTTAACCCCTGTTTGCCTCAGTTTCTTCATTTATAAAATAGGGATAATAATTGTACCTATCTCTTGGGGTCGTTGTGAGGACCAAATGAGATAATAATTATAAAAAGCACTTAGCATGGGGCTTGGTACATAGTCGATGCTATATAAATGTTATTACTGTTATTGTTAAAAAAAAAAGGAAACATGCAAATATGTCGAGTTTTCTAAATCAATATGTGACCTGCAGGGATCCTTATATAAAGTGTAGGGGCCCTCATTTCTATTTGAGTTTGACACCATTGCTTTAAGATGTACAGGGTTATTGTAAGGAACAAATGAAATAACAAAGGTAAAGTGTTCTGCAAATTTTTAAATGTTACATAAATGTTAATTATTATTTATTGTTGTTGTTATTATAATTATCTGTAAGACACTAAGTGGCAGAACACTTGCTGATTCGCACTGGTGGAGGTAACTTCCACACTGGGAACTCCCTACGATGATGACATCATAGACCTGAGCCACCAAAAATTTTTTTTAAAGCTGCAACAAACTACCCCCTCCTTATAAAGCAAGACCTTCAACCCATAGGCAATGTAAACCTTCCAGGACTTTTAACCCAACTTACAATCACTGGCCGTAGCATTGAAATGAAGGCACAGAATCGGCCACGCTCCTCAATCAGGGCCTTTCTGACTGCCTGTTTTTCAGTTTCTTCCAGCAGAAGATATTTGTCATTGACATCTTGCAACGCGCTGTCCAATTGAGGTTGGATATCTCCTCTTCCTGCGTGTAAAAAGGAAAGCCACAAACAGGTTTTGCTGAATTTCATACAGCTGCTTCTCACTCCAACCCCTTCACCCCCTGGGTTCTTGTTTAAATCAAGGTTAGCCCCATTAGATCACTGCCTGGGATGAGAGCCTTCTAATTTCCTGTGTCTGAAGGTAAGCGTGTAAGTAGGTTTAGGAAGATGAAACTACCTCACTTGGCCCTTCTCACAGCTTCCCTCACGACAGAACCCTCTGCCAACCCATTGCTGCGACCTAGGAACCTGGCAGATGAGCTCTCTCCAGGATGCTGACGGCCAAAGGGACTCCACTCAGTGAACAAGGAGGGCCTTTGTTGACATTTCCAAAAGCAGATACAAGCTAGCTCTACTGCGCCAGTCTCACCCAGGGGATTCTCTGTTGTACCACCAGTAAATATCTCTGGGAACAAAAAGGGATTTTCAGCCATCTCGGCTTGGGAGTCCATTGTGAACTGCTGGCTGGTTTAATGCCCCTCTGGAGATGAACGGAATGAGTTTTCTATAAAGCAGACCTAATAACAAAGAGGCCCGCACTCCGTTCCCTTCATAGGGAAGAAACTTTAAGATCTCTCCAGAGCCTGAGGTTTTGTTTGCTAAACTCTTAGCCATGTAAACCATCTACAAACTTTTACTCCTTTCCCAAGGACACACAAACTGGGGAATGAATGAAGCAATAAAACAGTGGGAACACTTTGCCTTTCCTTCTGTCTGCCTGAGGAGGCCTAAGGATACAGGAAACACAAAAACAGCAATTCACCCAAATGACCATCTTGACCACAAGAAACTATTCACACTGACCAGAGATGGCCAGAGAAGGTGCTACAAAAGTTCAGGAATGAAATTTCCTAGGAATGATAGGAAGCAGTCTGAATATTTTGGGGTTCTCAGTTTTATGTGGAGAAAGTCACGTGAAAGAGGGCTCATCTATTGTATTTGGCCCTAAAGAATAGAAATAAAACCAGCAGGTGTGGGATCACTAGTCCACAGGAAGGTAGAGTTCAGCTTTCCTTGATGGTAGAGGAAGAACTCAGAAAACAGGGAGAAGCTGTGAGGAAGCCAATTTATGCTTGATTAAGGGGGAAAAAATCCTAATAATTAGCTTTCTCAAAGTGGAACAGGATCCTTCAAAAAAGGTAGTGAGTTGCCCATCACTATGAGTCTTTAAGTGGAGGATAGATGACTACCTCAAGATGTCTGGAGATGGTAGGGGGTCCTTGCCTCAGTATGGGTTACACAAAACATGACATTTTAAGTCCTTTTCCAACTGTGTGATTCATTTCCTAGAAAATATTTAATTTAAAGAAGGCTGGGGAGCAAGTCTGCTCACATCCATGAAGGGTTATGATTTGCAGAGGGGTTTTTATAAGATTACCCCTAATGAATCACAAAATCAACATGTTGGAAGGGACCTCAAAGCCTATCTGGTTCAACTCCTACATGAACAAGAATTCCCACAACACAGATTTCCTTCACCATCCTGGCTTTTCTCCTTTGCACTCTCTAGTTCACTGGTGACCCTCCTACAATGCGGTACCCAGATCTGAACAAAATACTCCAGAATAGAGAGATTTTTAATTTATAATAGGAGATTTTAAAAAATTTTCTTGGACTAGTCCTATGTTTTCATTGGGGTGGGGAGTTCCCTGTGAAGAATTTCCTTTACAAATTCAGACTGACATTCTCCTGGGAATGTATAGCCTCAGAGGGTTGCTTGGGAGTGCTGAAGGTAGGTGACTTGCCCAGGAACACACAGTCAGTATGAATAAGAGGTACTCCTGGAGTTCTTCCTCACTATGAAAACAGCTTTCTACCTACTATATGTCATACTGCCTCTAGGGAGGATGCAGACCAGGTTTAAAGAACTCACAGCAAAACGACCAAACACACACGTGAGGATGATATGGGATCTTTTCTGGGCACATTTTGAAATGTACACCAGGAAATCTTGTGTCTGCTGAGCTTTGACTGTGACCTACCTGTAGATAGAGAGGCCTAATCTAGGCTAGCCTAATAAAGTCCCTTCTAAATCTACAATTATGAGCAATCACGTATCGTGACAGAAACAGTACCTGATCGTGGCTAAGATCCTAGTTTTTAACACCCATTAGCCTAACTGCACATAAATTAAGTTTTAGAAACATAGTTTAATACACAATTAACTGTGATATCTTGATTCATGATATTGCTGCAAAATCCCATCTAATCCTGTATGCATTCGTGCCCTTAAAAGATATAACGCTGAATTAATTAGAGAATTCCAGGCTGAGCGGACAATCGGAAGAGAAAGGAAAAAGAAAGGAAAAAAGAAAGTCTTGAGAAGGAAGTCTCCAGTCTTTGACTCCAAACTGCTTATGCTTTGCATTTACTCATTTGTGTATATGTTCTCCCTATCAGAATGTACATTCTTTATAGGCAAAGACTGTTTTGATTTTGTCTTTGTATGCACAGTGCCTGACACAGAGTAGGAACTTAATAAATTATTGAATCAATGAATGAATGAATGAACCATGTTTCCAGTGTTTCGGTTGCCAACTCAGGTCAATATTTAATAATCAAAAATGGTCAAAGATTATGAACAGGCAGTTTTCAGATGAAGAAATTAAAGCTATCCATAGTCATATGAAAAAATGTTCTAAATTACTACTGATTAGAGAAATGAAAATTAAAACAACTTTGAGGTACCACCTCACACCTATCAGACTGGCTAACATGACAGAAAAGGAAAATGATAAATGTTGGAGAAGATGTGGGAAAATTGGAATACTAACGCATTGTTGGTGGAGTTGTGAACGGATCCAACCATTCTGGAAAACAACTTGGAATTATGCCCAAAGAGCTATAAAATTGTGCATACCCTTTGATCCACCAATACCACTACTAGGTCTGTATTCCAAAGAGACCATAAAAAATGGAAAGGACCCACATGTACAAAAACATTTATAGCAGCTCTTTTTTTGTGGTGGCAAAGAATTAGAAATTGTGGGGATGCACATCAATTGGGGAATGGCTAAACAAGTTGTGGTATATGAATGTAATTGAATGCTACTGTTCTATAAGAAACGATGAGCAGGCAGATTTTCAGAAAAACCTGGAAAAACTTACATGAACTGATGCTGAGTGAAGTGAGCAGAACAAGGAGAATAATGTACACTGTAACAGCAACATTGTGTAAAGATCAACTATGATGGACTTAGCTCTTCTCAGTGACACAAAAATCCAAGACAATTCCAAAAGACTCGTGATGGAAAATTCTATCCACATCCAGAGAAAGAACTATGGAGTCTGAATGTAGATCAAAGCATCTTTGTTTTTTGTTTTTTCTTTTTCGTGGTTTTTCCCTTTTGTTCTGATTCTTCTTTCACAACATGACTAATGTGGAAATATGTTTAACATGATTATACATGTATAGTCTATATCAGATTGCTTGCTGTCTTGGGGAGGGGAGAGGGAAAGGAGAGGGGAGAAAAGTCTGGAACTCAAAATCTTCCAAAAATGAATGTAGAAAACTAGTTTTACATGTAATTGGAAAAAATAAAATACTATCAAGTACAAATAGTTAACAATCAGTAAGTAAGCAGTGAGGATACAAAGGGACTCAAAGGAAGGGTTTACAATCTAATGGGGAGACAACAAGCAAACACACACACAGACACAGGCACAGGCACAGACACACACACACACACACACACACACACACACACACACACCCACACCCACCAAGTTCTATGCAGGATAAATGGGAAATAATCACCAGAGGAAAGGTACTAGAATTTAAAAGGATTGGGAAAGGCTTCCTGTAGAAGGTGGGATTTTAGTTGAGACTTGAAGAAAGCCAGGAGGTGGTGAGAAAAGTACTGACAGAACTCTGATGGATGACCAGGAGAGTAACTCCTCAAATGGGAAGGCATACACCATCTTCCCCTTAGGGACAGACACAGAAAAACATTGTCCATGGGTGCCTATTTCTTCAAATTTCTAATTAGATTATTCATGAAGAATGGTGCATTTTTCAAAACAAGAGCAGTTTGCAAAAGTTCTTCTGCACTGGCAGTGAACTCTGGGGAACAAATTGCCAGAAGCTAAAAACCTTACGTATGAAAAGACTCTGTGTTACTTTGCCCATCAACCCTAAGAGCAAGCTGTTAGTTGGTCAAAGGCCACCAAAGGAGTTGTCTGAGAAATCTGAAGCTTGGTAGACATGCCTGGGCCAGCGTGCTGATTTTACTGTAGGACATAATAAAATATAAAGCCAGATTTCACTCTGAGGCAAAAGACTTTCTACATACAAAGAAAGGAAATCCAGAATAACAAGGCCAAGGCTGCCTTCTGAAGGTAGTAGAACATTTTTAATTATCAATAACTATTCTTTGCCATTATAAGCACAGAGGGGAGCAACTACGTTCTTTTGTTTTGTTTTTTGGTGAGGCAACTGGGGTCAAGTGACTTGCCCAGGGTCACATAGCTAGTGTCAAGTGTTTGAGGCCGGATTTGAACTCTGGTCCTCCTGACTACAAGGCCATAGCTCTATCCACTCCACCACCTAGCTGCCCCAACTATGTTCTTAAGAAACACACCTACCTACCACAAATCTGCCCCTAGAAAGCGGCAAATGTTAGAAGGCTATAGTTAAATGGCCAAAATGATTCTGGGAATGTGAATACAAGATTTTTTAAAAAAATCTTTTCATTTGTTATTATAAAGAAGTCTAAGAAGCAACCTGAACCATCCTCATCTAATTTTTTTGATCTTTTAATATGCCAAATAGCAGATTACTCATTAATAGAACTTTCCCTATTTCATGAAAAACATATATGCCATTAATTACTATCAATTCTTTTCCATGGCACAATTCTATACCCTTATGCGATGATCCCCAGTGCCAACAATGCAGTGATTCAAACTCTTAGCCAAGTTCTAAAAAGTTACAGCAAATCAGGCAGATAAAGGGTGTTGTTTGGTTGGACGTGATGTTGTCAATAATTCCCTTAAACCAATAAGCCACCCATCTCTGATACTTGGAATCACTGCTGCTGGCTTAGGAAACAACTACATTTGGCTTGGGCTCCTAGAAGCAAACAACTATTTATTTAAGCCAGGCAGATCATTCCTCGGTTTGTCCTCCTGACAAATACAACTTCTCCCCTAGAACTCCCTTCCCTCATGAATGCTGTGGGGAAATTTGGCATGAAGAACATTCTCACCTTTCCAACAAATGAATCCCAGAAGTATATTCTTATAGGCAAAACTCTAATTCTGGAGAGCTGAATTTGGCTCCCTTGAGGGAGCAGAAAGAGGGCTGGATTTGGAGACAAAGACCCTGGATTCCTATCCCGGCTTTCTGCTGTTACTTGTGGGGCTCTTTTCTCTTTAGGATTCAGGTTCCTCATCCTAAAGTGTAGGATAATCCCTTCCAGCTCTAAATAAATCAACAAGTGATTATTAAATGCCAACTGAATATCTGCCAGTCACTTTACCAAACCACGGTGACACAAAGCCAGGTTTACATTCTATTACATTCTAAATACAACTTGTACACATAGTTTCTTTTACATCTCCAGTCCCCAGAATACTGCCTGCCACATAGTAGGCATTTAAGAAATACACGCTGAATGAGGGATAGAAGAGAATGCAAAATGTATACAAAGTAAATACAAGGTAATTTGGGGGAGGGGGAGTGGCAGCAGCACCTGAGAGAATTACAAAGTTTTGAGTATTGAGGGAGGACAGAGACTCTAAGTCTGAGGGGTAAAGGTGAGGAAGGTCTGAATTCTAGGAGCAGGGGCGGGGGAGTTGTGAGGTGGTGGAGGGGAGGACGGGGGGGGGGGGGGGGGGGGGGGAAGAGAAGAACAAAGGGCCAGGAGGAGGGGAACATTTAAGCAGCCCTGTCTGGCTGGACCAGAGATTAGGTTCAGGAGAATAAAGCCTGGAAGGGTTGGCTGGAGCCAGATTTGTGTCTCTAACTCCGTATGTCTAAAACAGAACTCATTATCTTGCCCCACAAATCCACCCCTCTATCAAATGTCACTATTTCTGGCAAAGGCACCACCACCCTTCCAGTCTCTCTGGTTCACCGTTCTCAAATCCTCACTCTCTCTCTTCCCAGCCAAGCAATCAGTCTCTGCTCACATAGCCACCACTTTATTTCAGGCTATCATTACTACTTCTACCTAGATTATCTCAGCAGCCTCCCAATTGGGTCTTCCTGCCTCAAGCCTCTGCACTCTCCATCCATCCTCTGCATAGCTGCCAAAGAGATTCCCCCTTAAGCTTGGGTCTGACCACATCATTCCTCTATGAAAACAAACTCCAATGTCTCCCTATTGTCTCTATGATAAGATACAAATTCCTGTTTAGCCTTTAAAACTTTTCACAAACTGGCTTCAATCTATTATGCACCCTTATTACACAGTAATCAGTCCCCTGCTTCTAGGACTCTATGGTCCAGACAAATGAGCTTCTCTTTTCCTCACACATGGCACTCTATCACCCATTTTTATGCCTTTGCACTGACCATCCATCCCCTTTACCTGGAATAATCCCCATCCTTACCTCTATCTGGTATAGCCCTTTACTTCTTTCAAGAGGCAGCTCTTTCTGATTTCAGCCCCTCCACCCTACCCACCTGCCAGCATAACCCCCTCTAACTACAATGGATTAAATAATACTGCTCCTTTCCCTAAATTCTATTCCTACCACAGAATTAGGGTGTTTAAATTCCTTTTATTATAATGGATGTCTTAATGTGTTAATATTTTAAGTAGCCTTATGTTAAAAAAAATGAATTCTGGAAAACATTTTAAAAAACCTTTTGAAATTCTGAAGTTAAGAATGAGGATGACAGATTTTTGCATGTTAGTAACCGACCCTGGGTACCCAGCCTGGGGGACTGGACAACCAGGAGGAGCCCACAGAGAGGAGCACACCAGGATCAGCCCCAAGAGGTACAGCCCAGTGAAGACTTACCCACAGTTTCAGCTGGCAGGAAGGGACACACGATGAGAAAGTTCAGGATACACAATTGATACAAAAAGGAAAATAAAAAAGTCAAACTGGTATTCCAGCATTATTCCTACCTTTCTTGTGTTAATAACTCAGGGAATGGCATTTCTGTTGACATGACACAGGGACTTAACTACCCAAGGAGGCAAGGTGATTTAAGGTTCAATTTCTTGCTGGTGATTCATATTTTTAAGTCAACTTTTTTTTTTGGTCCTTTTCATAAAGTGACAACTTACTCTTCATGTGTATAATATTTTTCTACCTCTGAACAAAATAAGTCTTTTTAAGAAGAGACAAAGGCTCCAAGATAAGAGGTCGCACTGGATGCTTTTTTAGGTCCAGCACAGAATAACTAGATGACTTAGATGACCAAAGTCCTTCCTGTCTCTAATATTTTATAATTCACTACAATATATAAACAGAAATGTTAGATAATGCCCCAATACAATGTCAAACTTGGAGGTAGGGTAGTAAACTGAGGAATGAAAGAAAAGAATAGACAGGAAGGGTCAAAATGGAAGCAAAGGCTTAATTACCCTGTTTGGTTTTAGTATGGATTTCGGAGAATCACTACTTCCTTCCTTCAACTCAGCTGAAGGACCATCTTCTACAAGAAGCCTTTTTCCCTAATCCCCCTGAATGCTAGTGACTTTCCTCCCAAACTACTTTGTTTTTTCCTACCTCATATGTATTTATTTATTTTTATCCATACATATACAGGATAGTCCCAAAGTCTCACTGCAATTAGAAGCTATTAAAATAGCTTAAAATGTATGAAGACTCTGGGGACATATATATGTATGTACAGAGTCATGCGGTCTCCTCAATACAACACTGACTAAAAGCAGGGATTGTTTCATTTACCTAGCCCAATGTCTTAGTAAAGGCTTACTGACTGAGACAGTACTGTATAGTAACTTCAGTAATAGGATGCAAGGGTATTCATTCCTTCATTAAGTTCATAGCATTCCCTTTATTTCCACCGGTGAAAAATTATTTGAATGATTCCTCTGGTTCCTGTGGTTCTAATTAAAATGGTTCCATTTTCTGCCTTAAAAAGTTTCTAAACAAACAAACAAACAAACAAACAGTTTCTCTGCTAGGTTTCTAGAAGCTTATTCTTGAAACAGGTTTCATTATAACTAATCTTAAAATGAAAACTGTGGCCAAGAGAGGGGTCAAGTGAAATAAACAAATATACTGCTGGCCTCCTCAGTTGAGAGACAAGGAGGTGTGAAGCAAATGGGCTAACTGCTTCTTACTCTCCCACTTCTCTAGTTAGAAGGTGACAGTTAACTTCAGGATTCAAAAGGACAGCTAGCCAGACTAGTATACCTTTTTCTGGAGGAAATGTGGCATGGTGGCTAGCATGCTGGACCTGCAGCTGGGGAAAACTGGGTTCAATTCCCACTTGAGACACTGGCTCTGTGACACTGACGTTCTCTGAGCCTCAGTTGCCTCATTTGTAAAATAGGGATAATAACCTTCACAGGGTTGCTGTGAGAAGCAAATGAGGTAATATAAAGTTTCCAAATCTTAACAAGCATTATATAAATGTGAAATATAATTAATACTACTTATCTCCTAAGGTTGTTCTGTGGATAAAATGAGATAATTTTTGTTAAGTGCTTGGCAAACCTTAAAGTGCTTTATAAATGCTAGGTGCTATCCTCATTATTATTAATAACTAATTATTGACTAATAAATATTAAACAATTGACAATGTTATCAATAACTAACACTGATGTAAACAATGAAGATAACAGTAATAACCTCTAAGTTTCCTTTTGCTACTCTGCAGTTTGTTTTTGAGTTGTTTCAGTTGTTTCCAACTCTCTGTGACCCCATGTGGAGTTTTCTTGGCAAATTTGAGTATATTATGAAACCCAACTACAGGATGAAGAAGAGATGCTATTCAAAGCCATTCTATGCTGTCAATATATTATACGAGTCTCTTAAGGCACATATGATTATTTCTGGAGAGCAGGTGTATTAAGGATAGTCACTATTTTCTCATCACTAACTCTCTATGAAACATTGTTGGCCACAAAGGCAGATGGCGACCTGTCATCCTCTAGGTCCCAGGAGCACTCTTAAGACAACAATATATCACAGAAAAGCCAGACAATACTGAAGGGAAAACTACAGGTATGAGAATGTTTGCATGCTTTCATAGAACTGTGTGATCTGGCAGGCAGACCTGAGGGCTGCTCTTGGCTTTATGTTAAAATCAGTGGTTATTTCTATATTGTGATAGATCGATAAAGTCTCACCAATGGGAGTACTCCCTCTAACGGAATAATCCGAACCCTCATAATCATCTCATTGTGTGCCATGCTCATTCATCTATGTCTTTCTGCCAATCCTTCATTCTCCTCCCAGCTCTTCTTCTGACTTTCGCTGCACCTCACGTTCATGACCCCTGTACTACTGGCTCATCACCCCTTCAGTGCCTGGGGTCTCTGCCCTCGAACAGCCTATCATTCCCTTTCCTCCCCCAAACCCCCATAGAATATCTTTCCATAAGCCCTGCCCCCTCTTCTCCCAGTAGGAAGTACTTCCTGGAGCCTCTGTTTTGCAGAAAGGCCTAGGCTGGCCTGCCTTCATTTCACTCCCTGCTGTAGTCCTGATTTTCTTCAGATTTCACAACTGTGTCCCTGACTTAGGTACCTTCAGCCCTCCCTCCTCCCCTTTTTAATTCCCTTTTGTATGGTGTCTTCTCCCACTGAAATGTAAGCTCCTTGAGGACAGGAGCTGTCTTTCTTTTTTCTTTTTTTTGCTTGTATTTGAATTTTCTAGCACTTATCACAGTGGCTGGCACAGAGTTAATATTTCTTTCCTCTCTCCCTCACTCCCTTCCCACCCTCCCTCTCTTCTTTCCTTCCTTCCTCCCTCCTCTCTTTCTTTCCCTCCTTCCCCTACCTAACACACTGAAGACCCCCATTAGTTCTTTTTACTATCTTATGGGTATGTTACCTACCCCTCACTCTGCCTAGATGACCAACCCACCTCTCCTTTTCTGATTACCCAAGACTTCTCAAAGGGATATTTTATGTCCCTTTTCATACGTGGTTCATTGCTGATAGTGACCTGTAGTCTGCCCCTCCCCTTTCCCTGACCAGGCATTTTTGCATTGTCCTCTGAGCCAACTGGAATTTTGAATCTTCTGTCCTTTCACAGCAGGAGGATATTTAACCGTGAGTACAACTAAATCAGGTTTTTATTTTTCAAAAGGCCTGAAAGAACTACCCTTAATGAGACTTCTACGCTAAGTTACAGAGAGGGCTATGATACGAGTCAACAGCATTTAGTAAGTGATCACTGTGTTCCAAACCCTGTGCTAAGCACCTGGGACACCCAGATAGGTAAAAGTCAACACTGAAGACACTGAAGGGCAACATGATACCACTGTAGGTAGAAAAATGGTGGATTTATAGTCAGAGGGCCTGAACTTGAAATCCAGCTCTGCCATGTACTACTGAGCTGACCATCACTTACTTCACTGGGTCTCAATTTCCTCATCTGTGAAATCAGAGTTGGGATAGATGACCTCTATCTAAGGTTTCTCCTAGAAACCTAGAGCTATGATCCTATATCATGGATTCTTGAAGTATGCAATATGAAAGACTCTACTGTTAAACAGTAAATACTTAAGAAATGCTTTATCAATTTCTCATCTAAATAAAATGAATATTGCATGAACAATACTAAAGGGGTGCTGGAATGTATAGTAAAAGCCCAATTAACTGGAACCTACATGATCAGGCATTTAAATGAATTGAAACTTTCTATCTGCATTCATTTTTAAAAGAAATAGGCAAACACCCATGAAAAATCACTAATATCAAGGACTTGTTTTAACCCACTTCTAGTATATGATCTGGAGTTGGTTTAGCCCAATTTCCTACATTCCATTTATACTACTACTACTACTACTACTACTACCACCACCACCACTACCACCACCACCACCACCACTACCACCACTACCACCACCAGCCAACAGCTAACATTTATATAGCATTTACAATGTGCCAGGCACCTTGCTAAGTGCTTTACAATTATTATCTCATTTGATCCTCACAACAACCTTGGGAGGTAGATGCTATTATTTTCTCCATTTTATAGATGAGGAAACCAGAGCACAGAGAGGTTAAGGGACTTGCCCAGGACCACACAGCTAGTAAGTATCTAAGGCTGGATTTAAACTCAGGTCTTCTTTACTACTACTATTACCACCATCATCACTATATTACTACTACTACTGCTAGCACCATCATCACTACATTATTACTACTACTACTACTACTAGCACCATCACTACTACCACCCCTATTGCAACTACTACCAACATCATCACTACATTACTACTACTACCATTATTACTACCTACTACTACTACTAGAACCATCACCACTATTACTTCTACTACCACCACCACCACTCTTATTTTTACTACCACTACCACCACCACTACTACTACCACCATGACCATGACCACGACCACAACCACTAATAATAACAACAGCCGAACATTTATATATAGCCTACTATAGGCCAGGTGCTATGCTAAGAGCTTTACAAATATTATCTCATTTTATCCTCACAACCACCTTGGGAGGTAGATGCTATTATTATCTCCATTTTACAGATGAGGAAACTGAGGCAAAATCAGGTTGAGTGACTTTTCCAAGGTCACACACAGCTAGGAATAGCGTGAGGATGGATTTGAACTCAGGTCTTCCTAACTTCAGGCCCAGTATGCTATCCTGCCACTTACCTGCCCCGTTTATGTGCTTTTACATATAAACAAAATCACAAAGAAACTCAGAAACTTTTACAAAAAGAATTCATGTTCAGAATGATGATCCTAAGGCATTCAAAGAGATTCTAAATCAAAGGAATATTCAATTATGCTTCCCCTACTGCACAAAATCAGGCAAAAGAAAATATATTTTATAAACATTTTTAACCAAGGCTGACCTGTTGTTTTCTACATCATCCTTACTACATCTAAAAATCGAGCTAATCAAGACACTCATTCTCTTCCCCAGAGCTGACTGATCTTCTTCCTGTCGTAAGACAATCACTGCAGCTCTCCACCCATTCTATGTGAAGATGGCCTAGTAATCTGGGCAAGCTGTTACACAGAAGTCCACCTCCAAGCGAGGAGTTTCTCGTCTTGAAAAAGGGACACTGAGGCTAGAAGACCCTAACATGAAAATAAGGAAAAGAAATTCTCCAGAATGGATGCAGAATTCAGATGCAAGGATGAATTAACATCAGGGTCTGAGCTGGAACTGGGGTTCTTGCCTCATCTCTGCCAAATTCCCAAAGCTTTCTTAATGCTAAGAATTGTCAAACCAATCAGTGAATAAACATTCATTAAGCACATACTATGTGTATCTGGCACTATGCTAAATACTGGAGATACAAAGAAAAGCAAAAGACAGTCTCTGCTCTTCAAGACATCACTGTCAAGTGGGGGAGATGACATGAAAGCAACAGTGTAAAAACAAGACAAATATAGGATAAATTGGAGGTAATCAACAGAGGGAAGGAGTTGGCACTAAGGGCCATCACAAAAGACTTCTCACAGAAGTGGGGGATTTAGCTGAGACCTGAAGGAAGTGAAGAGGTGGAGATGAGGAGACAGAATATTTCATAGCCTTAGCATAACCCTCTTAGCTCAAAACCTACAAGCTCTTACAATTACCCTGGTAGACATATTTCACTTAGAGTGGCCTCCCTTTCCACTAAGGTTTCATATTTTCAGGGCAGGAATGTAGGGATGGTCCTCAACTCTTTACACAGAAATTCCATTCGTCAATGCCAATCAACAAACCATCCATACCTACTCTTATGGAGTAGCCTGGGGACAATTTAAGGTTAAGTGACTTGCCCAGGATCACACAGCTAGTATATATCTGAGGTCCAGCCTGAACCTAAGTATTCCTGATTCCAGGGCTAATCTTCATGCTGTCTGCTTTGCCACACGGCCTTGCTTTCACTACCTTAAAGTGCTAATATTACACATAATGGCATTTAAATATTTTTTCAGCAGTCAATATTATTGACCTTTGACCTCCTATAAAGTATTACTAATATTACCAGTAGACATGGGTGTCAACCTCTAGTTCCCAGTATCCCTGTTAAAACACACTGATTCAGCAAACACTTATAAGTAGCCCAGGCTGTGCAAGGAACTGTCCTAGGTGCTGAGTATAAAGAAAACAAAAAGATGGTCCCCCAGTTTCGATGGGATGGGCTTCCATTCTTTTGTGTAGATCTATTTAAAAAGAGCCAGTTAATCAATGGTCAGGAGAAACTGGAGGTATTTGAATATCTGAAAATCTATAGGAAATATGAATGGGTGGAACTCAGGCCATTTTTTACTTTAAAAACAAATTACATTTTTAAACATAGGTTAAATAACTTCACAAATTTTAGACACACAAAATCATAAAAACCTTCTTAAAACCTATCATAGTTTATTATTTCACATCATACCTAACATTTTAATTTAAATTAAATTAAATTTAATTCCTTTTAATTTCTTAATAAGGGACTTTTTTGGTAAGAAAGCAGCAGTGAGGAGAAGAGAATAGTCATCTGTTTGTCAGTTATTTTCCCTTGCAATGTTGTTGTTTTTTCCTAGAAAAAGACAAGGGATGTTTCTTACACTTTTCTTCTAAACTTAAAAGCATCCAGCACATCTGGGCACGAAGTACCTTCTCAATGAATACTTGGGGAATGATTTAAATGTTCCATTAAGTATAAATCTGTGATTTCCAAATCAGTGTCAAATGGGAGAATCTGGTCAGTTTCCTCCATGGATTAAGGACCTTCTGACACTTTTAAGAATCTCTGAAAAGTGGATTCAGACAGATTTGTTTTCATACCCATTTCCTCTAGCTCTCAGTTCCTAAAGCACTAGATGAGTTCAGAGTGGGGGATTAGGAGATGGAGGGATATGCAGTGAATTGAGGCAGACACATTAACAAATGCCTGTTACTTGTGAGTTGTAGGGGAAAAATTATTACGTCCTACTTGGAACAATCTTCAAAAATAGGAAAGGAAAAATTTCCAAATCAAAACAAATAGATTGGGAGCACTCTATCTCTAGAAGGTAATTAATATTAAAGTAGGGACGAAGACAGGTTGGAGGATAACGCTTCAATAAACATTGCATCTCAAAAGAATCTCCTTTTGTCTCCGACTTCCTTTCAAGACTTGGCTCAAATTCCACTTTATGCAAGAGGCCTTTCCTGAGTCTTTCTACTGCTAGCTAGTGCCTCTCCAGTGAGATTATTTTCCATTTACACTGGATGTACCTAGTAGGTACATGCTTATTTGCATGTCATCTCCCCCATTAGAATGTAAGCTCCTTGAAGGCAGGCATCATGTTTTTGCTTTTCTTTGTATCGTCAGGACTTAGCACAGTGCCTGACACATAGTAGGCACTTGATAGATGCTTACTATGTTGAAAAGTGTCTGACTGGACAAGTACCTGGGATTTTGTTTTTCTTCCTATTCTCATTCCATAAAGATCCTAGAATGACTTAAATTGTAGAAAGTTTAACTAGTCTATCAGTCAACTAGCATTTATCAAATGCCTACTACGTACTAGGCACTGTGCTAAACACTGGGGATACCAAGAAAAGCAAAAAAACAATGAAGTGCCCACTCTCAATTAATGGAGGAGACAATGGGCAAACAACTAGGTATAAACAAGATATATACAGGATAAATTATGGGTAATCTCAGAGGAAAGGCACTGAGATTAAGGTGACCAATGTCCAAGTGACCTTGGGAAAATCACTTTTATTCTCTGGGCTTCAGTTTCTTTATCTGGAAATTTAGGAGGTAAGATTAGATGACCCCTAAGATCTCTTCTACATTTAAATCTATTATTTTAAGTGAGGAGCTATGTACCTATTACCTGAAGGACCAGACTTTGTGATTTAAAAACATCAAAAGTAATTGAAGGTGGAAAGAGAGTTAGATTTGGAGCCTGAAGTCCTGGGTTTGAACTCCAGCACTTTTACTTATTGCCTGTGTGACCTTGAAAAAGGCTCGGAGTGGCAGAGGAGTATACTGGATCTGGAAGGAGAGAATCTGAGTGCCAACTTTTGTTCTCTCACTTACCTGTGTGACCTTAATGATTTCACCTCTTTGGAGTTTGGTTTCCCCATCTATATAATGGGGAGGGGAGCTGGCCCCTGATTTCCCTTCCAGTTCTCGATCTAATGATCCTATAACTTAAGCTTCAGTTCTTGACCTAGAAAATGAGGGGTTTGGACTAGATGACCCCTGGAATTCCTTCCAATTCTAAATCCATATGTTTGCTCTCTCCCAAGCAAGAACACTGAAGGTTCCAATTAGTGTCTCAACTGCACATTCTCTTGTTTTTTGGTGGTTTGGATTTATATTACTTTCTTTCCTATTCGTAGATCTAGTTGAAAAGAAAATATTAATGATCTTTAGAAAGGTTCACCTCAGAAGTCTCAGTCTAATCATGAGTAAGAAATAAGTGGTATGAGGATAATGTAAAGAAACCAATCCTCATAAGCCACATATTTTTTTAAAAGTCTCATTAATTTAAAGTCACTCTGCATAAAGTACTAACAAATATCTCAAGAATTTACCCACAGGGCAGCTTCAAGGATAATTCTACCACAAGTTCCTGAAGGTCCTTTTCTCCAGTAAAGAGGAGAAAGAACACAGGGCTCAAACTAAGTCTGCCAAGTAATGGCTGTGTGACCTTGGATAAGTCACTCACCTCTCTACATTTCAGCTCCTCCTTCATAGGAAGAGCCTATGCCTCTTCCATAAAACGAGATCAGACTAATATAGGGCTTCTTAGCTTTGTTTGTGGCATGGACCCCTTTAGCAATCTGGTGAAGTTTATAGACCAGATCCATTCTTAGAATGTTTTAAAATATGTTCAATAAAATACATGGGATTACAAAAGGAGTCAATTATATTGAAATACAGTTACTGAAATATAAAAAAAAACAACCCAACTTCATAGACTCTACATTAAGAACACTTGGACTAGATGATTTCTATGGTTCTTTTCCAACTCTAATATGATGGGATTCTATGGATCATGAAAACTTCTCTGAATTACTGAAACATTTTAAGTCTTTTTCCCTGCTCACCCCAAGGTCCTATTCTCAGTGACGCCTTTTCAAAGGAGACTCCTTCTTGTTAGCTGGTTCAGTATCTTATACAAAACAGACTAGGGACAAATGAAGCTTTGATACATGATACACAGAGCCAATCATCTGTCATGGACCTGGATGTGGAATGGATGCAGAACAATGCTTGGAAAGTGATCGGAAAGTAAGGTAAGCCCTTGCTGAGGCTGTTTTGTAATGTGCCTTCATATTACCAAGTGCTATGTGTATAATTGCAAGCCATCCCAGAAACAACATCCGGCTTCCATTGCAGTCATTTTATGAATCTTACAAGATTTAATAGAGGGTTAGGAGATTATAGGCTGTGAAAGATGGAGGAGAAAATAGGATGATTTCTGCTATAATTACTACTGAACATTTGCATAAAGGCTTTTATGCATTATCCCAAGGCTTCTAGGAAATTTATAGGTTTCATTACCCTGCACAATAGGCAGAGATATTGTCAGCTTTTGAAGACAAAAAGAAGAAAAATCATACATCGTTTTAATCACGCCTTACATTAATATAAATTCTGTACCTAGAGGTCCAAATTCTGTTTAACCACATGTGGACATGTAGGAAGTGGGACATTATACAGAACATATCCCAGAAAATTAAATATTTTTCACATTTCAGATAGAAAATTGCCATCATTTTCTTCATGTGAAAATATCAGTGATGGAATTGTAAGGATTACCTTTTTTGGCCTTCTTCTGAAGTTTCAGTGTATCTGATGACTTCTTTTTTATCTCTTGGCGAGCTTTCTTGTACTCTTAAAAAAATAGAGAGGGTTTTTAGTATACTTCAACTTGAAAAATGTCAATAGGGAACAAATATTTACTTTGTGGTGAAAAGTTCAATAATACAACATAACCGATTAACAATTTTATGCATAGATTACTGTAAAAAAAATACCTTAGGTTAACATTTTGAAACAGAGGAGTTATTAAATCCAAGACAGAGTAAGCTGGAGATAATCAACAGAAGGAAGACACTGGAAGTAAGAGGGATGAGGAAGGCCTTTTGCAGAAGATGGAATTTGAACCAAGTCTTAAAGGAGGTCATGGAAGCCAGGAAGCAGAGGTAAGGAGGGCAGGTATATTCTAGGCATACAGGTACAGCCAGTGAAAAGTCCTTGAGTTGGGAAATGGAAGGTCACATGTGAAGAAAAGTAAGCAGGTCCGAGGAGCTAGACTGTACAGTTCATGAAGGACAAAAAAGGTAAATTGAGTCAGATTATAAAAGGCTTTAAAAGTAAAACAGTGGATTTCAAATATGATCCCAGAGGTAAAAAGAATCCACTGGTATTTGTTGACTTTGAGAGGGGATTGAGATAAAAAAGTGACAAGGTCAAATTTACTTTGGCAGTTAAGTGGAGGATGGCCTAGAATGGGGAAAAGACCTAAGGCAGGGAGGCCAATTAGAAGGCTACTGAAATAGTCCAGGCAACAGGTGATGAGGGCCTATACTAGGGTTATGACTGTGTGAGTGGAGAAGACTAGTTGTGAAGTTAGAAATGATAAAAACTGACAACAGATCAGATATGGGGGGTGAGTAAGATCGAGCAGTTGAGGACAGCACCAAGGTTGAATCTTAGGTAACTCAGAAGTTTGGCTTCTGAGTTAAGTTACCCTTAATAGTAACAGAAAAGTTGAGAAAAGGAAACGATTTGGGAGAAAAGATAAAGATTTCTGTTTTGGACATGTTGAGTTTGAGTTGCCTATGGGGCATCTACCTTGAGATGGCCAAAAGAGACAGTTGGTCATAAGGGACTTTCGTTGCTGTTCAGTTGTGTCTGACCCTTTGTGACCCCATTTTTTTCTTGACACTGGAATGGTTTGCCATTTCCTTCTCCAGCTCATTTTACAGATGAGAAAACTAGGGCGAACAGGGTTAAATGACTTGCCCAGGGTCACATAGCTAGTAAGTGTCTGAGGTTACATTTGAACTCATGAAGATAATTCTTCCTGCCTCCAAGCCCAGAACTCTATCCACAGCACCACTTAGCTGCTCCAACAAGGGGCTGGAGTTCAGGAAAGAGACTAGGGCTAGATGTCTAGATTTGGGAAGCATCTGCATAAAGATAATCATTGAATCCATGGAAGCTCATGAGATCACCAAGAGAAGGAGTACAGGGTTAGAAGAGGGTCAAGGACAGAGACTTAGGGAATACCTGCACTTAATGGAAACTAAGAAGAAGCAAAATGGATCAGCAGGAGGAGAACCAGAAGAGAGTAGTATCACAAAAACCTAGGGAGGACAGACTATACCAGAAGAGAAGGTACTCAAAAGGATAAGAGACTGGGGAGAGGTCAAGATGGAAGAGGACTAAGAAACAGTCACCGAGAGTGACTGGTCTCTTTAGACAGGGAAGTTAGTAGTTGGATGATAAAATCAGAAGTTACACTGCTGAGGGTCTAGAAGTGAGTGAGCAAAAAGATAGAAGGCACCTTGTGTGATAGGACAGTAGCCAGCAGAGATGGTAGGATCCAGTGAGGGTTTTTTTAAGGATAAAGTAGACATGAGCAATTTGGGAAAAGCCAGAAAGGAAGTTTCTCAAGAGTAGGCGATGTTTTGTTCTCTCTACTGCTATCCCTAGTGCCTAGCAAAGTGTCTGACATATAGTAGGAGCTTAACAAATACTTGATTCAAAGGTGTAATCAGCTAATGGGGAAGAAGTCCAAGGAATAAACTGTATGATCCTTGGTAAGTCACGTAATTTCTCTGGGATTCGATTTTCCTTATATGTAAAACAAGAAAGTTGGACTTGATGGTCATCTAGGACTAAGTCATATAAAACTATAATTTGGTCATTGGAGATTAGCTTTACCAAATAGAGACAATGGTAAATGAGGAAGAGAATTCCAAGATGAAGAGTGGTTTACACCACAGTACTTTAATGATTTATGATCTTATCAGTATGGGTACTCCCCTTCCATCAAGACTTAACTAAATCCCTTCACGCCTTAATACAGATGATATTCTGAGAGTTGCCATGCCTGAACAATTAATCACTTGTGTCCAATCTGCTGAAGAACTTGGAATTTGGCAAGGTTCATCCTTCACAGATAATGTAGTTCACTTCACCCATTTCTTCTACCTTGGTAGGGCCTGATAAAGCTTGGGCTTTCCTGGTGAAACCAAGGATTAATCCAAGCTCATTAAATTAATCTACATAAAAATCCTCCTTAAAGTCTTCCTCCAATGCCTCATGGTGGTATGCTAGTAACTCTGGGTTCTCAAAAGGCTATGCCAAAAGCGAACAAGATCTCCAGTTCCTATTGATATATAATCTTGGAACAGTGGATACAGGGTTGGGCTAGGAGTCAGGGAGATATAAGCTCAAATTCTCTCTCTGACATTATCTGGTTGATTCTGAGCAAATAATTAAACCTGCCTCAGCCTTAGCTTCCTCTTCTATAAATGGAAGTGCCTTTTCTGTATTTTATTGATGTTAGCAATTAGAAATATAAATTTTCCCCTAAGGATCACTTTGGCTGCATCCATAAATTCTGGTATGTTGTCTCACTGTTGTCATTTTCTTTAATGAAATTATCTATTATTTCTATGATTTGCTCTTTGACTCACTTGTTTTCTAGGATTAGATTATTTAATTTCCAATTAATTTTTAATCTCCCTTTCCACTGACCATTATTGAATGTAATTTTTATTGCATTATGATCTGAACAGGATGTATTTAATATTTCTGCTTTTCTGCATTTGGTTGTGAGGTTTTTGTGTCCTAATACATAGTCAATTTTTGTGTAGGTGTCATGTACTACTAAGAAAAAGGTATATTCCTTTCTATTCCCATTCAATTTTCTCCAGAGAGCTATCATATCTAACTTTTCCAGAATTTTATTCATCTCCTTAACTTCTTTCTTGTTTATTTTTTGGTTAGATTTATCTAGTTCTGCGAGGGTAAAGCTGAGGTCCGCCACTAGTATAGCTTTATCTATTTCTTCTTGTAACTCATTCAACTTCTTCAACAATTTAGGAGCTACACCATTGGGTGCATATATATTTAGTAATGATGACTTCATTGTCTACAGTACCTTTCAGCAAGATACAGTTTCCTTCTTTATTTCCTTTAATTAGATTTATTTTTGTTTCTGCTTTGTCTGAGATTATGACTGCTACTCCTGCTTTCTCTGCTTCAGCAGCAGCACAATAAATTACACTCCAGCCCCTTATCTTTACCCTGTGTGTGTCTCTCTGCTTCAAATGTGCTTCTTGTAAATGACATAATGTAGGATTCTGGTTTTTAATCCATTCTGCTATCTGCTTTGGTTTTAGGGGTGAGTTCATCCCATTCACAAGGTTATGTGAATTATAGTTATGATAATTAACTGTGTATTTCCCTCCATGCTATTTTTCTATTGTTGTATTCCCCTTTCTCTTACTCCCATCTTTTCCCTCCTCACAAGTGTTTTACTTCTGATCACTGCCTTCTCAATATGACCTCTCTTTTATCAGTCCTCCCTCCCTCTTCTATTATCCCCATCCTCTTTTACTTTCTTAAAGGTAAGACAGATTTCTATATCCAACTGTGTATGTTATTCCCTCTTTGAGCCAATTTTGATGACAGTAAGGTTTAAGCTTTGCCTGCCGCGCCCACCCCCCCAGCTTCTCCTCCATTATAATAGCTCTTTCATGCCTGTTTTATGTAGGATAATTTACCTCTTGCAATCTCTCCCTTTCCTTCCAGTGCAACTTTCTTTCTCACCTCTTCATTTTTTTAGGGTATCATCCCATCAAAGTCACCTTATATCCATACCCTCTGTCTACATATATTCCTTCTAATTTCTCTTACAGTAATAAAGTTATTAAGAGTTACAAATATTATCTTGCCATATAGAAATATAAACAGTTTTAACCTTACTGAATTTCTTATGTTTTCTCTTTCTTGTTTCTATTTTACCTTTTTATGTTTCCCTTGAGTCATGTATTTGGAGGTCAAATTTTTTATTCAGCTCTGGTCTTTTAATTAAAAATGCTTGAAAGTCATCTATTTCGTTAAATATTCACTTTTCCCCAGAAACATTACACTCAATTTTGCTGTGTAGGTGATTCTTGGTTGTAATCCTAACTTCTTTGCCTTCTAGTATATCATATTCCAAACCCTCTGGTTCTTTAATATGGAAGCTGCTAAATCTTAGGTAATCCTGACTATAGCTCCACAACATTTGAATTATTTCTTTTTGGATGCTTGCAATATTTTCTCCTTGTTCTATGAGCTCTAGAATTTGGCTACGATGTTCCTAGGAGTTTTCAGTTTGGGATCTCTTTCAGGTAGCAATCGGTGTATTCTTTCAACTTTTATTTTGTCTTCTGGTTCTAATATATCAGGGCAGTTTTCTTTGATAATTTCTTGAAAGATGTTGTCCAGGCTTTTTTTTTTGTCACGGCTTTCATGTAGTCCAATAATTCTTATATTATCTCTCCTGAATCTATTTTCTAGGTCAGTTGTTTTTCCAATGAGAAATTTCACATTTTCTTTTTTTTTTTTTTTACTTTTTTGATTTTGTTTTGTCTTATCTTGATGTGTCATAGTTATTAGTTTCCACTTGTTCAATTCTAATTTTTAAGGAATTATTCTCTTTAGTTAACTTTTGTATTTCCTTTTCCATTTAGCCAATTCTATTTTTAGGGAGTTATTCTTCTGGATAGAGTTTTGTGTATCTTTTCTCACACTATTGACTTTTTTCATGATTCTCTTACATTACTCTCATTTCTTTTCCCAATTTTTCTTGTGCTTGTAATTTGCTTTTTAAAATCCTTTTTAAGCTCTTCCAAGAATTCCTTTTGGGCCTGACATGAAATTACATTTTTCTTTGAGACTTCACAAGCAGCCAAAGATTATGCCTTGATCCTCCCTATCACCATAGTAACTTTCTATAGTCAAGCTCTTTTTTTGGTGTTGGTTTTTTTTTGCTCATTTTTTCTGCCTTTTTTTGTGACTTGGTGTTTTTATGTGAAAGTTAGGCTCTGGTCCTGCACTGTCCCAAGCTTTTTGTGCTAGGACTCTGGGGTCTTACTTGATGGCTTTCACTGGGCTTCAGGGCTTAGCTGCTTGCCTTCTCTGGAGGGTAGGCTTCCTTTCTGGCTTGTACTCAGTGGTGAGACCTCCCTGTTGGCCTCTCCTGGGTGCGGGGTTTAGCTGCTGGCCTGTTCCAGTGATGGGGCCTTGCTGCTGGGTTGACAACACTAACAGAGTCCTTCTGGTGGCTGGCCCTAGGGGAGGGAATCTTGCTGATGGTCTGTCCCAGGGGTCGGAGCCTTGGTGCTAGGTTGCTATGGAAACAGGTGCTCTCTGCTAGCAGGCCCTAGAGAAATAATTTTGTTGCTGATCTATCTGAGGGGTAGGGCCCTACTGCTGGGTTGTTATAGAAACAGAGTCTCTCCGCTGGAAGGCTCCAGGGGCAGGGTGATACTGCCCAGCCCTGGGGTGGGGCTTCACTACTGGTCAACAATGGGGTCAAGGCCTCACTGGTGGCTTGTGCTGGGGATGGGCTTCCTGGAATGGGACCTTGCTGTACTGCACAGACTGCTCACTTGCCTAGGGGGCTGCTGGTCTGCAGGAGGGAGGGGCTTTGTGGATTGCCCCAGGCTTGGAGCCTTGCTGCAGGCCCCCTGTTGTAAGGCTGGCTGCTGCTCTTGACCCTCGCTACCCTCCCATCTCAGTGAGATAGACTTTTCCTGCCAGGCTCATAAGATGCCTCTGCTCCTAGATCAATTCTAAGGCAGTTTTCCAGTCATTTGGAAGGGAATTTGGGAGGTTCCCTCCTCACCCCACCATCTTGGCATTGGAAGTCACCTGAAATGTCTTACTGTAGTACTTCACCTGCTGTGATTTGAGTCTAATTGAGCCAATTTTCACCAAAGCTACTAGAGGATTAAGGTATTTGCTTTTTACCTTTTTTACCCCCTCTCCCAAGAAATACCACCTAGTTGGTTATTCTCAGACATTATTAGCTTGCTGCGGGATCAGTTCCTTGCCTCATTCTGCAGTCCCCAGCACAAGACCAGGCAACTGCTAGACTCCAGCAGATATTCTGATGAACAGAGAGGCACTGGATGCCACTCACCCAGACATATCCCAAACAACCACAGAACACACAAGAAATACCTTTTGCGTGGTCTTTATCCAGTTGGTTGGCCACTTTCTTCCATTCTTCCATCTGTTCTTGAAGTGGGTTTATCAGGCAATCAATTAAAGCACTTTTACCATAAAAAGATAAAAAAAATTTCATGTCGGAAAATGCCTCAAACTTCCCCTCACCTCAACAGCTTTTCAGATTTGCAGCTGCTATGAACATAGTGAGATCCCAACCTCCTTCAAGTTCTAGCTAAAAATTCCACCTTCCACAGGAAGCCTTTCCTGATCCCCTTTAATTCAATCAATCAATTGATCAAGAAACAGGTATTAAGCACCAACTATATATCAGGCACTCTGCTAAGCATTAGAGATACAAAAAGAGGCAAAAGACAGTCCCTGCCTTCAAGGAGCTCACAATCTAATTCTGGAAACTCCCCTCAGTTAACTATCTCCAATTTATCCTGTACATAGCTGTACAAAGTTGTTTGAATGTTATCTTCCCCATTAAAATGTAAACTCTTTGAATTCTGTATTCAAAAACAGAATTTTTGCCTTTCTTAGTATCCCCAGGGTTCAGCATAATGCCTGGCACACAGTAGGCGCTAAATAAATGTTTATTGACTGGCTACCTGTGGTAATGGATGTTGAATATGGAAAATAACTAACATTTATATAACACTTTAAGGGCTACAAAGTATTTTAAATTACTGATCCTCACAGCAACCCTGTGAGATAGGTACTATCATCATACCCACTTTACAGATGAGGAAACTTCGGCTAAAAGCAGTTGAACGATTTGTCCAAAAGTCCCAAAGACAGTAAATAGCTGAGGTTAGGATTCAATTCCCAGGTCTTCCTGACTCCAAATCCTGTACTCTATTCTCAGCTGCCTAACAAGATTCACTGAAAATCATGGAAAATAAAGTAGCCAGACTTCAAATCAGTGTTACTCACTGACTGATCTTATAGATGGCTAAGAAACTATTTAAGGAGTATGGTTTGAATTTCGGCTCCTTACTTTTTCTCTGCTCATCTTTTAGTGTTGGTTCCAATAAGCGCGGATGTGGGTAAAAGGATGGAAGTTTGAGAGAGGGAAAGAATTTAAGGACCTGGATTATCCACAAACCAGATAATCAATACCTGGATGACTTCGAGCTAAACAGCAGCGTTCTATTTTCTGTACAGTTTCTACCACACACAATCTTTCTCTAAAAACTCACGCCTCTTCCCAAATTTTCTATTTCTGCTGAATGAACCATCACCTACTCACCCAGATAGCTACATAACCTCGGTGTCATCAAACGTCCTCAACTCCTCCCTCCTTTCTCTTCCCCACCATCCAAACAGTTGCCAATTCCTGTCAGTTCTACCTCCAAAACTTCCTTTTCTCCACTCACATGGCGACCACCCTCCCGCAGCCCTCATCACCCCTTGTCTGGACTATTCTAGGAGACTGCTAATTGTTCTCTCTGCCTTAGGTGGCTCTCCTCTCCAATCCAATCCTCACACAGTGAACAGACTCATATTTTTTTCTTTCTTTTTTCTTTTTTTTTGGTGAGGCAATCAGGGTTAAGTGATTTACCAGGGTCACACAGCTAGTAAGTATCTGGTGTCTGAGACTGGATTTGAACTCAGGTCCTGCTGACTCCAAGGCCAGAGCTCTATCCACTGTGCCACCTAGCTGCCCGTAGACTCCTATTTCTAAAGTATACATTTGACTATGTTATGCCCACAGCTTAGCAAATAGTAGGTGCTTAATAAGTGTTTACTGACTGATTGCCCTTTCTCAAAAAGCTTCAGTGGCTCTCTATTGCCACCAGAATGAAACACAAACTGCCCTGTCTGGCATTTAGAGCCCTTCACAATGTGACTCTAAGTTATCTTTCTTTGCTGATTTCACCTTTATCCCCTCTCCTCCTATATATTCTCTGTTCTAGTTAAAGTGGCTCAATGCACAGAGGTACGCTGATAAATGTTTAATAACCAGTTTTCCAAAAGACACACTTTCAAGTTTAATCTACATCATTTTCCTAAGTCGTCAATCAAAAAAACAATAAATCAAGCCTTGCTCTGAAGTGTTTGCTATTTATGAAGTGTAAACCCTCACAATGAAAATTCTTCAGTGGCTTCTTGTGAGGTGTAACACAGTCCTGGCTGTATACAACATTCTGTCACCCATCTCTATACCGTTGTACAGGTATGAAATTCTCTTCCTTCCTCTCTTCTATTTCTTCTAATCTCCTCAAGCACCACCTCCTATAGGAAACTTTTTCTTATCCCCTACATTGATAGCGCACCTATAACCTCCTCACCCTCATAAACTGCCTTGTATTTATTTTGTTTATTTTTGTGTTGATTTATCTGTGTCCATGTTTCTTCATAAAAATACATACACCTATTTCCTCAAAGAAAATACAAATTCCTTGAGGGCAGGAGATGCTTTTCATTTTTGTCTTTATATGTCCCAATACTTAGCACATAAATGTTTGTTGAATGAAACTGATCACATTAACAGACTATGTCACCTATCAACTACGTTTTTAGAGCAGTCACTATCCACTGAACAAAAATTAAAACACTTGATTCTTTTCTCAGCACCACATACGACATCATGCAAGTCATATAATTCAAGTTTCTCCATCCTCCCAATAGAGGTCCTATTTAGTCCTTTCCTATCTTGTGGAAATTTAGAATGCATTACAAAGTACCCTCCTTAGATGGCTTCAACAAAGTTGGTAAGGCCAAAGTCCTAGAGCAAGTACTTTTCTTCGTCTCCTCTTTCTTCCAACTATCTTTGAGTCATCAATTTTTAAAAATTTTTTTTCATCAATTTTTTTTTTAGTAGCTTTCTTTAAGTTGTCATAAAATCTCCACAGGGAAATAAGAGATTGGTGAGGTTTCATGAGGCTCTTAAGTTAAATTTTTGCACTCTACTAAGTTAAATGGATCAAATTCTCATCCACAAATTTAAGGATCTTTTGTTTATTTTTTAAACTATTCATGCAGATGAATGTAAAAAAAAAAGAATCTTAAGAGTTGACGGGTACTTCAGAAACCATGTAAATCAGCCTCTACCTAAAAGGTGCATCTTATTTGACAATCCCCTTGATAAGGAGTCATTAACCCTTCTTTTGAGGACTGTGACTGAGCAACTCACAGCTCTTGGAAAATGTCCTCTGTATTCTTGTATACATTATAGATCTGGGTTACCAAACACAACCCAAATAATAAGACTTGAGATACGATAATTCCAAGAAAAATATTATTAATTAAGGGCAATGGAAGTTTTCTATGTAATGGCCCTAAATAAAGTCAGGGTCAGAGACTCAAGGGATCCAGAACTGGAAGGATCTTCAGAGGTCACCTGGTCCAGATCTCTCCTTTTAAGGATGAGAAAATAGAGTATACAGAGGATAAATAACTTGCCCAAGGTCACACAAGTGTGGAGTGGTAGAGCTATGGTTCAAACCTGAGTCCTCTGACTCCAAATCCAGGATTCTTTCCATTCTACTTTACTGAAGCTACAAAACTAGAAAGTTCTTATTTCTGGGGAAAAAATGATTGGCAACCAGATATTAATTTATCTGGCTATCCCAGGAGTAGTTAATGACAGGAGGAATTCCCAATGACAATAAAAGTTTGGAGGCCTTAAAGCCTAGTTCTCAGAGAGCAGGACTAAAGTTTAATTTTAGGGCACCCTAATTTTAAAAACGCAGTCTATTAAATACCTAATTAAGAGGTTACTTAGAAGTCAACGACCAAATTAGCTTACCTAAAGAGTTTTAAAGTCCTTATCCTCAACTCTCACCAGGTCATATACTCTCAGCAACAAGGTAAGGGGAGTTCAGTTGGAGTCCCTTTGGAATGACTGTGCTAGACCTAAGCATTCTTTCAGGGGGCAAATTGGGGAATCTGAGAGGCAGAACACCTCTTGGTACTTCCTTAAGTCTAGCTGGCACTGTCCCCTCCCTCCCCTCCATCGCAAAGCTGACCTTATTTTAGCTTCCAAATGAGCAGTATTATGTCAAGGACCCTTCGGTGGTATGGTGAAGCCTATATATCCCTTCTCAGAATAAGGTTTTTAAATACATAAAATAAAATACACAGGATTACAAAGGAAATCAACTACTTTGAAACAGTTATCGCAACATAGAGATTAAGCTTTGATAAACTATCAAACTGGTAAAAACATGATGTAAAGGTATATAAGACTTCAAAGCCCTGCCAATCAAACCTTCAATACTTGAAGGGTCTGTAATGGTTGACTCTACTGGTTTGGACCTTAAGCCTTCTGTAAGTTAGTCAGTGGTATTTAAGAGTTGATATGGCACCAGTAATCACTGCTGTTGGGGGCTAAGATTGGTCACTTGAGTTTAGAAGGTCTGAGCAGCAAAGGAATAAGCAGACAGAATGTTCAGACTAAGTCTGTCACCTTTCTGGTGAGCCCCAGAGAGCAGAAGGGGCCCAGACTGCCTAAACAGGGGCAAATTGGCCCAGGTCCATGGTGGAGCAGGTCAGTACTCCCATGCTTATTAGTAGTGGGATTGGGCCCATAAATCACCACTGAGCCCAATCTGGGCGAAACAGAAAGACCTAGTCTGAAAAAAGAGTTAATGTGACCCCTCAAAATTCATCATTTTATGGCCAAGATGGTGCTTAGCCTGTCCAAACTTAGGACAAACTTAGCTAGGCTAGTCCTTGGATGACCATCTCCTTTGTAAGTGTGCCATATCTTTCTCCCCAAACCCCACCCAAAGAGGAGACTATAACCTCTTAACCTTGCTATATCTCCCCCAGTGCCTAGTTCAGTGCTCTGCACAAACTAAAAGCTTAATAAATGTTTAGTAGCACTGAGGAATAGGGTGGGATCTGCCACTCCCACACCCTAAATCTGCCAACTCCCTGTTGTATACAAATTCTCCTTTATCAGCAGTTTGGTGGAGAATCAAGAATTGCTGGTTCAGTCAGTTTCAGGCTTTGCAAAGTGATCGAGGGTGAGGATGATTACCCAGGGTCACCAAGAGAATTCAAAAAGATCAGTGAAATGGCTTTTCACTTGGTCACTCTGTTTAATATGCCTGGGAGAAAATAGCAAAGACTCTTCAAGCAGGAGTGGTCAACAGAAAATATGTGCGTATGTGTGTGTGTGTGTATCTTCTCCATCTGGACATCAGTATTTTTAATCACTTTTTTCTTTGTAGAGGCAATGGGTGGTGCAGAGGAAAGAGTGTTGGACCTGGAGTTGGTAAGGCCCACTTTCAAATCTGGTCTCAGACATGTGAGAAATTTTACCTATGTCTGCCTTAGCATCCTCAACTATTAAGTACCTGGAACTTAGTAGGTACTTTAAAACCATTTACTGACTGATTGAGTAACTGCACCTACCTCCCAGGGTTGTTGTGAGAATACATGAGATAATATCCGTAAAATACTAAGCACAGTGCCTGGAACACAGGAGATATTTAATAAATGCCTGTTTCCTTCCTGTGTAGCTTAACTGTGTGCCTGGTACACAGAAAGTGCTTAATAAATGCTTATTGACTGAATAATTGGATGCAAAGTCTCCTTTGCTATTCTGAATAAACATGTTGTGACTTACCTAGAGAACTGTCTCAGCTTGGTCTCTATGCTTCTGTGTCTCATACACATCCTGGTCAGGGCAGATCCGATTTCTCTGGTACCACCTGAAAACAGAAAATAAACAAGGCTGAGACAAGACAGAGCAAGTATACCAAAAATGCACATCCTCCCATTTAACATCTCAGTTTTAATAAGAGAAAAAAGGAAAATATCAATGCCAATAGTTGAATAACTTGCATAACTTAGATCCTATATAATACTATGATTAATGCAATATCTGACACTTTATTTTTCATATCTGGCTCATGGGGAAAGAAAACCCACACTAAGATATTCAGGAGAGCAAATAATGTTTCTGAAGAAGTCCACGGTGTAATCATTAAAATCCAGTCCCTTGGCATAGAAACAGAATCAAGAGGACAATATCTTCAGCAACAAGGAAGGGGCAGGTTAATTTTGTCAAAAACATCTGGGGAGAAAAATGGATTTAGTTTAAAGTAATAGCTTGACCTGCGGCAGAGAGGTAGCACAGTAGATAAAGCACTGAACCAGAAAGAACTTCATGAGTTCAAAATCTGCTTCAAACACATACCAGCTGTGTGACCCTGGGCAAGTCACTTAACCCTGTTTGCTTCAGTTTCCTTATCTGTAAAAATGAGCTGGAGAAGGAAATGGCAAACCCTTCCAGTATCTCTGCCAAGAAAATCCCAAATGGTGGCACAGAGAGTCATGCACTGAAAAATGACTTAAAAAAAAATAGCTTGACCAGGGAGGGTTTCAGCCTGAAGAAGACACAGGAAAATGGGTCAGCAAGGCTATTTGGATTTGCCAAAAAACAAAAAAACAAAAAAAAACTTATCCCCCCACTCTCTTTTCTTAAATGATTTGTCACGTTCTCTTTCTCCTTCCCTTTCTCAAAAGCAAAGCTTGAATAAGCAACTCTGTGTTAGTTTGGGGTGGAGGAGTGTGGGGAGGAAACTGATTATAATCACAGATGGTAGCTCCACACTGAACATTTGAAGGCCAGGCAAAATTATAAATGTTATGGAAACACTGAAGCTTGTGGGTTCAGCACAAAAAAAAAGTGTCAAATAAGGCATTATTTTAATAGACCAAACAATTTAGGCCTGATTAGATACTAATATATTTCCAAAGCAAAACTCTATGAATTGAAGACAAAGTTAATTATCAGGCAAGAATTACCTCCTCCAGTGTTCTCTGTCCTGTGATCTACCTCCTTCCAGTCCTTATCTTTCTTGAGATCATTGTCATTTTAATTCTGCTTCCCTTCACTAAAGTACCACCCTTTCTCCTTGCCACCCTGTCCCATTCTTCATGGGAAACATAGAGGTGACCCTACGCTCTTGAACTTCATACCAGTAACATAAGCTCTGGCAAGTTTTATACTAGTCTGGAAAGGACCTGGTTCATATGTAAAGGGAGGAAATCAAGCCAGAAGGGGTAGAGGATGCTAAAGATCCAAAGTGGAAAAAAAAAATCCATTGAAGAAGAAGATTTGATTGAACAGGTGGGTGCACAAGGAATTCACTATAGCAACTTAGAGGGACCCTATTCTATACCAATTGTCTAAAGGCTAGTCTAGCTAAAAACTAATGGATCTTTCAGTCACTGAAACTCTCAAAGACCATCAATTATGCTGCAGAGAGATTACAATGTGGATTACGGAGAGGAATATACACACTAATAAAATCACAGGTCCTTAAAGTATTTAAGAAAAAATTCTTTCCCCTTTACCGTGAATACCTAACAGGCTTTCAGTACATACACAGAAAATATATGTATTACAAATATATGGGTGTGTGTGTGTGTGTGTGTGTGATATAATCTCCACTGAAAGCCACAATTAGCTGAGGCAGGTAAGAGAAGTTAAGGATAAATGAGAAAAAGCCACCCTACTCAATATTTATTATACTTTTGTTATTCTACTCCACAAGAATGACCTTTGCACTGAAAATCATAAAACAAAAATGACTAATAAGGACTTAATACCCAAGAAAACTAAGGGGGGAGAGAAGGAAGGAAGGAAGGAAGGAGGGAAGGAGGGAGGGAGGGAGGGAGGAAGGGGGAAAGGGAGAAGGGGGAAGAGAAAGGGAGAGAGAGGGGGGAAGAGAGGGAGAGGGGGGAAGGGGGGGGAGAGAGAGAGAATATTTATTTTGCTTGATTATATATATTTGTTACAAGGAATGTTTTTCTTTTTTCTCCAAATGAACTAGGATGGAAAGAAAACAGATTTCTGCTAATTAAAAAAAAATGAGGGGGTGGTAATGGTGCTGCTACAGATGTAGAGTGTTGCATGCACTTTCAGATGAGGTCATTGTATTAATTTTATTTATTGTTTTCCTTTTTAACAAGAGAGCTCTCATGAAGTAGAGGTGATCTGTAAATGTTTATAATGTAGAAATAAGACACATCAATAAAACTTTAAGAAACCTCTTGCATAATTACAAAAAACAATTTCACCATTAGCAAGATTGGGGAGGACAGCAGCTATTCTGAACAAGATCTGGGGGTTTTAGTTTATTGCAAGCTTCGTGAGTCAGCAACATGATATGGCAGCCAAAAAAAGCTAATGCAATCTTGGGCTACATGAACAAAGGCCCGGCTTCCAGGAATAGGGAAGTGATAGTCCCACTGTACTGGGCCTTTGTTAGGACACATCTGGAGTAACATACTCAGTTCTGGGTGCACTAGTTTAAGAACTATGATGAACTGGACAATGTCATTGGGAAGACAATCAGGATGGTGAATGGTCTTGGGTCCATGTCATGTGATGATCAATTGAAGACACTAAGTGTATTTCTCCTGGAGAAGAACAGATAAAGGGATATACACGGTAAGTGTCTTCAGAAGCTTGAAGGGCTACTCTGGCCCGAACCAAGAGTAATGGGTGGAAGCTTCACAATAGCTAATGTAGACCCAACAATGGGAAAACATTCCTCACGATTCATGCTGTTTGTGGTGGGGTCCCCTTCCTTGGAGATTTTCAAGCAAAAGCTAGATGACCACTTGTCCACTATATAACAGGGGAAATTCCATTCCTGTAGGGGTTAGATTAAATGGCAGCTGAAGTCCCTTCTCACTCTGAGATTCTGGGAATCTGTGATTCTGGGTTCGACTGCATTTCTAATTTTCCTCTCAAAGAACCCTAGACCCTTGTAAGCAAACAGGGTAAAACGACGCAAGGACCTAAGCAGTAACTCTACTTTGGATTCATGTCCATTCAGGGAATTTCATCCATTCAACAAGTGTTTATTGAGTGCAGAGTTGTGGAAAGGGTGCTGGCCTCTGTCCATTATCTCTAACTACAGTCAGGAAAAACTGGGTTCAAATCCCGTCTCTGGCACATGTTTGCTGTGTGACTCTGGGCAAACACCTCAAGGCTCAAAGCCCCAGGCAACTTTTGAAGGCTAAAAATTGTAAAATAAGTGCTGATTTGCCTTCATGAAGGGAGTCACCTCATGGGGGGGGTGTTCTATATCACTTATTACACTCTAAAGGTATACTCTTAAAGTACACTGCTAAGAAATGTGCAAAGCACTGGGCCAGATGCTAGGGATAAAAAGACCAAAAAAAAAAAAATCCCTGTCCATAAGGAGCTTACATACATTCTACTGGGAGGATGTACCAGATGAATCGAACAGTAAGACTATGGTCCAGGACCTTTGAGAGTGTCTTACACTTGGCTATCGGCATGCAGACCATCCAGAGGGGCAGAAGATGGAGCATCTATCCCCTGCTTTCAAATCACAGATGTTCATACAATTTTCACCAGCTTCACAGGGCAAAGCCAGCAGATGGCACTGTTTGCTTAAGTAGAGGTAACTTGCTATAAACAAGCATGAAGAATCTTCTTTCCCCATGGGAAACATTTTATTTTTATTTGGCTGTAGCCCCTCATTTGGCTAAAGGTCAGCTGATTTTCTGGTTAAAGGTCACAAGAGGCAGACTCACATGCTGGGAACTCTGACAGTTTTACTACCCTCACTAGAGAGAATCATTTACACATTAATGGTAAAATCCTGAATTATTTATACTAAGCATAGAATCCTGAAAACTTTCTCTCTTCTGTTACCTGGCCCAGTCTGTTCCTAGTCATAAGACTGTAGAATTTAGAGCTGAATGAAGCCCTATAGGATCGAGCCCTAGAAAGGTGAAAATGTCTTGCCTAAAGTCACATCTGTAGTTATCACATAAGCTATCACACTTGAACAGGAATCCCTTCTACCACGCCCCTAAAAAGTGGTTACCCCAGCTTTGCTCAGAGACCTTGAGTGAAAGAGAGCTCATTGCCTCCAAGTACAAGCCATGGGACAACTCTGATCAACAAGCACATTAACAACTTCAACAAGCAAGTTCTACTCACTGTAGAAATTTGCACCCAACCCCCTCAGACTTCAAATCCATTAATTTATTCAACAAAAAATGTATTGAGCACCTATTATGTGATTAATTTATTAATGTGATTAATTTATTAAAAATTACAGAGCGCCTACTATGTGATTAATTTATCCAAAAAATACAGAGCACCTACTACGTGATTAATTTATTCAACAAAGAAATTACTAAGCACCTGCCATGTGCTTAATAATGAAGGCAAAGTGTCTGGTTCTGAGAATACAAAGATACAAAGACAAGTCTTTCCCCTCTACAAACTTATGTTCCAATGGGGGGAAACAACGTATACATACAATATAAAATACATACACACTATATACAAAGTAATTTGGGGGAGCACTAACACACAAGGAGACCCTGAAAGATCTCCTGTAGGAGATAGAACTTGGGCTGAGGATTGAAGGGAATTGTTAGGGTTTCCAAGAGGGAAGGAGGACGAGGAAGAGCATTCCTGGGATGGGAAGGAGTCTATCATGATTTTAACTGCAGAGCATCTATTTTCATGCCTCAAGCTGGCCATCAAGGGTACCACACCAGTCTGATGTGAGACGCCAGAAAAGGTGGGTTTTCAAGGGTCTTGGGTCTTTTAGAAAATGGTTTCATTGCCAGCCTCCTCCAAAATCATAGAATCTCAGAACTTTTTATTCTATTCTACTCTATTGTACTTAATCATCCTGAGGCATTGAGG